ATCATTTCATTTGTGCTTTATTGTCATTATTTCTCTTTTGAATTCTTGATGAAATCATTGTCAAAGGGGGAGAAATATACAAAATGCATGCTTCTTGGAAAGGGGAGAATTGAACTGAAACTGTTTCGATTTACAAAATGCATGCTTCTCGAAAAGGGGAGAATTGAACTGATGAACTGTTTCGATTTTTAAAAATAGTCGATTTTGTGCTTTGATTGCAAATTGATGGGAGAAATTCTTTCTTTTAAAAAGGGGGAGAGTTTTTCTTTTTCTGCTTTGATTGCAAATTGATGGGAGAAATTCTTTCTTTTAAAAAGGGGGAGAGTTTTTCTTTTTCACTTTTGTGATTTTTGTTTTTATTTTTCAAAAACACAAATTTGCATTTTGGAGATGTTGCCAATGTATTCATCAAGGGGGAGATTGTGAAATCATTGTCATGATTAATAATTGTGATGAACAATTGGCTATGCAAATGATTTAATCAAAGAATTGGTTTGAAAAGATGTGCGAATGTTAGTGTGAGTGCGTGTGACTAATGTGAGTCAGGTTGTGATATCTGTGCCCAGAAACGGTTGTTTTGTCTGATTGTGTGCAGGTGACTTGAGGTCAGCCTTAGTCAATGGTGAGGACCGGGACTATGCTCAAGAGGAGCAGAGGTCTATTGCGGTCGGGATACCATGTAAGAAGGTGACTAGAGCTAGTATTCTTGGAGGTCAACTTCGGTCAACAGTGGGGATCGGGACTAAACTCAGGGAGGAGTTGAGGTCCAGACGGTCGAGGATATCGGGTGACGAAGTTGGATACGAGATGTCACACGGTGGATGGACACCGTGTGGGAGAGATCTTCGCAACAGGCTTCACGAGGTGTGCGTGCAAGTGCTGGTGTTCGCGAAGGAGATTGGAGTGAGAAATTGAGAAAAGGGTATATGGTGCTACAGTACACGTGGTACTGTAGCATGCGTATGGATGGTATCTATGCATGTATGTTGATCATGCATGTGTGGCTCGGTGCGTTCTTCATGCATGTGTGATGGTTCGGTGGGCTTCGGTGGCAGCTGGCTGGAGGCCGAACCGGTCCAGGAGCAGCAGCACGTTGGCCCACGTGCGATAGGCCCAAGCAGGAGCAAGCGCAGGAGATCGAGTCCGATGCGGTTGATTGCGGCTGTGCGAGTTTTGGGAAATTGTAAAAGGTTTGGAAATTGAGGGTTTGAGTCCTACTGTGAAAAGGAGTTCTACACCTATTTTGAGTAGGGGGTTTTTCATGTATAAATAGAGGGGGAGCGTGAGGCTTCCCGGTATCGCTTTTTTATCGCTTTTCAGAGCGTGGAGCTGATAGTTTAGTTAGGGTTTCGAGTTTAGTCGAGATTTTTGTAAGGAGTGTTGTTAGTGCACTTTGTAAACACAGAGAGAAGCAATAAAGTTGTCATCTACTTTGAGAGTTCTTCGATTTGTGTTTCATCGGGTTCGGCGGTTCGACCGGCGGCGTGCAAGCGGTTCGACTGGCGGCGTGCGAGCGGTCCGACCGGCGGCGGCGACAGGACTACGTCGAGATTTCCATCGATTTGAGGGTAACTTTTATTTCCGCTAAAAGTTTTTGGGTTTTAGTTTTCTCTACCATTCACCCCCCTCTGGTAGGCTTGGTTTCTTGTGTTCGATCCTACACTCTTGAGGGAAAAAAATTACATCTCCATTTTTATTATGGTCATCTTTATTGTCAACTGCTACCTTTTGAGGTCTTTTGGCAGTTGAAAGTTGAAACAAGAAAACATATTACTCTAATAAGGTGCAAGCTAGCAGGAGATCTATGCAACAAATAGTATCTCCAAAACCAAGCTATTAAAATCTTGCAATACTAGTAGGAAATAACATGATTTTTCAGCAGGACAACTGCAACCTAACTATGCCTTTGTTACACCATGCCATTGGAAAGTATGAAAGACAGAAAGAGCAGATTGTTCAGCGGGACTGTACCTTTGCTGTGGCTGCGGTGCCATTATCCGTCAAAGGAAGGGTATAAGCATTGTGAGGCGTCGAGCTCTGCGGAGCAGTTTCATTGGGCCTCAGTGTGATCAATGGCAATCTGAGACCATTGGAGCCTGAAACTGCATATCCTCTGTCGGAAGAAGAGCTGCCGGAGATGTGAGAGGTAACCGAGGCAAGTAACAACAATGCATTCAGATTTGGGAATAGCAACTGATCGTCAGCTGCAGCAATAGCAAAGAAATCATGCAGTTAGGCACAAGTAATAACAGAGGCAAGTTTAAATAGTGCTGAACAAGTTGGATATAGGCTTGAACTGGTTTCAGACCATCCATTTTAAGGTGTCGTAGAACAGAGACAAGCAGTATTAACATACCATTCAGCTACTACTGGTTTTCCCTATCTACAATATTCAGATCATCATCTCCGAATTTCCACAACATTCAGATAAAACTATCATCAAGAAACACAAAATACCAAAGTACTGAACAATTTACAGTACTGAAAACTACAAAATCCACATTATTGAACGGACAAAAGGGACCTGAAAAACATAAACATTGCCCACAGGAAACTCAGTCAATCTAGCAAGCTTGGCAATGAAAAAATGCCAGGCAATCTGCAATTAGTGAACTATACTAGACTTACTGATGCAGTTTTAACATTTCAAGAACTTGTGCTTCAGGAAATTCAGTCACTGTCATCACTTGTCAGAATTCAGTCCCTGTCATCTACGGAATCATCAATAATCTCAAGTTATGCAGACCATTCAGAACTACATAAACAATGTTCAGAGAATTCAGACACATGCATATCGAGCTAGTCTGCTTACCTTCACTGTTGGGCCTGACAAGGACGATGTGCAGGGTCTCCCGGCTGCGAGGCAGGTCGATGAGCAGAGGAGTTAGCCGCCCATGGATGCCGGCGCGGACGCAGAGTGTAAACTCGTCGTAGCCCAGAATGCCTGCGAGCTTCTCTCTCAGGAGCTGGACCGACTTCCCGGTGAACACGTCGATGTTGCCGGCGGCGCCTGCGCCGGCCGTCACGAACTGGATCTGCCGCCTCAGCGGGGGAAAGCACGCCGCGACGAGATTCTTGGTCAAGTTGCACTGCACAAAATCAACAACAGCAGCACAACGAATTTGATAAAAAAAATTCACAGATTGTTACATGGTTCAAGATTAATCTCCGACCCAATCAATCATCATCAAGACTTCTTCAACTAGAACCAGAACAATCCTCTTGTTGTAGAATTGCATAAAGGACACAACACAAACACAAGAATTGAAGGAAGAGAGGGGATCAGGAGAGAGGAGGAGTAGGAGGATCTCACCTCAGTGGCGATCGGGAGCTCAGGTCTGACTTGACTCGGGGTGACACGCACCACCTCCCACCTCAGCGACGTTTCGTTGTCGACGTCGCTGTGGACGGAGACGCCAGGGCGGCGAGCCAGGAAGGTCTGGTTGCCGCGCAGGTAGCGCCCGGACTTGTCGTGCAGAAGGACGACGCAGCCGCGGGCAAGGTCCGGGCCGGAGCACCCGACGGCGCGCCACATGATGGCACCGACATCCAGCACGTCGCGGTCGCGCTGCGCTGCCTCGAGCGAGCAGCAGCCCTCGCGCTCGCGGTCGGGGGCGTCGGGGGACCCGAGGTAGCGGCCGTAGGCTCCGCGGAGGAGCACATACCGCGTGGGAGGCACCCCGGCGACCACCTCCTCTACGGCCCACACCGCGTTGTGCAGCGAGCCGCCGCCGCTGCCGCCGCGCAGGTTGCCGTGGTAGACGGACCGCCCGTTCTCGTCGGCGTGGAGGTAGGAGTTGCAGCACCACACCCGCAGCGCCACGAACTCCACTCCCTGGAAAACCTCCATCGACGGCCGCCGCGCGTGGATGGAGTGGTACGAGGACTCCATGATCTGGTCGGAGAGTCGAACGCGCGGTGGCGAGACGGTGCGTCGCGTCGCGTCGCGCGGCCGCGCGGGGAGGAAGAGGATCGAGCGATCGCGACGGCGATGGCCGCCGCACAAGAGGTGGCGGCGTGCGCGCGGTGGCGAGGCGTGGCGTGGCGTGGCGTGGGGAGGAAGACGAGAGAGGCAACTAGCCGTGGAGGAATTTGGTGGTGGTGGATTTGAAAGCGTCGCGAGGAGGAGGACGGAGGCGCACGTCGCGGTCTGACAGGTGGGCCCTCTGGTCAATGGTCAACCTCGTCAATGACGGGTGGGCCCGTGGGCACCGTGGCCACGTAAAACTTGGGGGCGACCTGCAAAATTCATGCAAACGAGTTTCTGAACCTGTTCAGATCGCTGCTGCAATCAAGATGAATCTCTCCAGTTTCAAAAGAGTCTGAACTCTGAAGTCACACTGTGTCTGCATGCTGCAATGTTTCAAAAAAAAAATTGACCACCATCATACAAATCGCTCAAGATAAAACGCAATATACTCTCTTTAATAATGTCAATCTATCGGTCTGCATGTCAATAGTGAACTATCCTAGACTCGCTGAGTCATGTGTTCTTCACTTTTTGATGTAACAATTGGTTTAGGGTAGATAATCACCGTAACAAGTAAAAGCAGCTACTACCTAACTAGATTCCACACTTGACATTACCAAACTTCACGAGATTAAGTTACTGTCATGACTTCAGAATTCAGAACATCTGACCTTAATCAATATTTTTGTCAGAAGTGAATTTACAGAATGAAATTAGAATCTGTCCAGTTATTTTCAAAGAAGTGAATTTACAGAGTTATGAAGGTTCCATGGACTCAGATTCTTAACTTTTGGAACTAACAGATTCAGCATAGGACGCAGCATCTGCAAACTGGCACCGTCAAAGTTCCTAGATATTTTCGTTAAGCACACTGGACAGGGGCATGCCATTACTCATCAGAATTCAGAACGATGGTCATATTTCTAACTAGTTTAGCATGAACTGTAATACATATTGCAGGAGAGTTAAGCACACATTCTTGTCATCAATCCGTACTAGGCATGAAGACTAATTGTCACCAAAACCAATATTTTCGTTAAAAAACCCTGTTTCACTTTTACCGGGTTTTCGAAGTATGTAAACTGCGTAAAAACACCCATTGTACACCCTGACAATTTCAGTTTTTTCCTGTCATTCTACAACTGAGAGCAACATAAAACTGCATTTCCGGCATCGACTGAAAATTCTACTCTATGCCTCTAAAACCAACACACTGATCTTCGCTCGATTTCCCTGAGCCTGTCAGAAATTCAGCATGAAAGGATTCACTGAATCAATCCCTCCTCCGATGCCTATATCTCCTACGTCACGATGCATCCGGATCTGGGAATGTCAACCGATGATCCGCTGCAGTCATAGCAGAGAAATATGCAGTTAGACAGTGCCCAAACAGTACTACTCCTGCAAGTAAAAAAAACAGTGCAAGCAATTCTGCAAATGAAGATACTACTCGGAGTTCCCGTCTTTCGCACTAAGCACTGGACGATCATTTTCACAACAAATTGAAACTACCATCCTTCATATATGCAAACCATCTGCTGTTGCATGATAATAATCAGAACAAAGTGAAATTAGCATCCATTCTATATGCAGATAATAAGAACTCGAAATGGTTTCAGACAATCCATTTTAGGTGACAGACCCACCACAACAATAGTTCTAGGCCAGATCACACAGTATTAACATACCATTTAGCTACTACTAATTCTTCTTATCTACATATTCAGATAAAATCCTATTCCCAAGAAAGCATAGTACACCAATTGCATACAATTTTCTTGTGACGCCTGACTTGCATTCCATCAACAGAAAATTCCTCACATTTGTCAGCAAGTAAAAACAATTCCTACTGCAATGTTCACTTCTGCTGTTCTACTACAATGTTCTTCAGAAAACTCCTAACTCAGCAAGTAAAAACATGACTGCATTTTCCACAAACAGTGCACTGAGAACTGGAAAAATCTACGGTGCTGAGATAACCAAAAGGACCAGAAAAGGAGATATATGCCATTCAGAACAACATAAACTATGTTCAGAAAATTCAGGAACATGCATATCGAAATCGAAGCTAGGCTGCTTACCTTCGCTGTTGCGCCTGAGAGCGACGATGTGCAGGGTCTCCCGGCTGTGAGGCAGGTTGATGAGCAGCGGGGTGAGCCGCCCATGGCGGCCGGCGCGGACGCACATCGTGATGGCGTAGCCCACACGGTTCTCGAGCTCGTTTCTCAGGAGCTGCACCGACCTCCCTTGGTACTGAAACGAATCCCAGACGATGTTGCCGTCGCCGTCGGGCGCCACGAACTGGATCTCCCGCCGCCGCGGGGGGAAGCATATCTTGACGAAGAGCTCAGCCAAGTCGGCCTGCACAAAATCAAGATAGCACAAGGAATTTGATCAATTCACGGATGATCTCCCACCCAATCAGCATAACAGATTGTAGCAGAACGAAGAACGATGACGCAAACAAGTTGTAGAATCGCTAGAAGAGAGGGGAGAGGATCGGAGGAGCTCACCTCAGTGGCGATCGGGAGCTCCGGCCTGCCTGGACTCGGGAGGACGGGACGCACCTCCCACCGCAACTCCTTCTCGTCGTCGCTGAGGCGGCCATCGCCGACGGTGAGGCTGGGGCGGCCACCGCAAACCAGGGTACTCATCAGTTTGCCGCGCAGGTAGCGGCCGGACTTGTCGTGCAGGCAGACGACGTGGCCGGTCCTCCTGACGGCACGCCACATGATGGCGTCGACCACCGGCTGGTCGAAGTCGCGCTGGCCGACGACGGGGGCGGGACAGCAGCAGGAGAGCGGCCAGCGGCGCTCGACGGCGTCCGGGGCACCGAGGTAGCGGCCGTAGGCGCCGCGGAGGAGCACGTACTGCGTCGGGGGCTCCCCGGCGACGGCCAACTGCACCGCCCAGATCGCCTCGTGCGAGGGGCGGCGGCCTGGGTCGTAGTGGTAGACCGACCTCCCGTCCTCGTCGGCGGTGATGTACGTCTCCTCCCACAAGTTCCGCAGCCGCACGAACTGCGCACCATGGAAAACCTGCATCGCGGCCCGCCGCGGATGGTGCGCCGGTGATGCGCGCGCGGCGGCGAGTGGCTTGCTACTCCTCGGCTTCTCGGCGTGGCGTGGCGTGGCGCGGCGCGGCGTGGCGTGGCGTGGCGAGGAAGGCGAGACTGCGAGAGAGGCGAGGCGGTGGTGCATTTGAAAGCGTCGCGAGGAGAGGAGGGAGACGCAGGCCGCTCTCTGACAGATGGGTCCCCTGGTCAAATGTGGTCAACCGTAGTCAGTGACGGATGTGCCCGTGCAAAATGTTGAATTTGCTCAAACGAGGGAGCGCAGATTCAGGATTGAGTAGACTCTGCAAAATTTTTAAGAAAAAAACGAGTTTCTGAACTTGTTCTGATCGCTGCTGCAATCAAAACGACTCTGTTCGGTTTCAAAAATGTATGAACTCTGAAGTCACACTGCCTCTGCATTCAGCTGCAGTGTTTCAAAGAAAAAAAATGGTCACCACCATACAAATCGCTCAAGATAAAACGCAATATAGCAAACTTGGCCCTTAAAAAAAATGCATCAATCTGTTTTGAAAGGAGGAAGTAATCAGTCTGTTGTTCGCTTCTAGAGAACTCTCTTGTCATATTTTTTTTTACTTTTTGATCTAAAATTTGGTCTAGGGTAGACAATCACCGACTCACCGTAACAAGAAATGTAGCATCTCCAAACTTCAGGAGATTCAGTTACTGTCATGACTCTTCAGAATTCAAAACATTTGGCATTACTAACTGTCAACTTAATCAATATTTTTGTCATGACTGAATTTACAGAGTGAAATTAGAATCTGTCCAGTTCTTTTCAAAGAAGTGAATTTACAGAGTTATTAGGAAGATTCCATGGATGATCGATCCATCAGTCCTTCAGCCGGTTGTTCTTAACTTTTGGAACTAATAGTTGGTTTAGGGTAATCACAGGAACAGGTAAAGAACTACTCTACTAGATTCTGCATAGCAAAGCAGCATCTGCAAACCGGCACCGTGAAAGTTCCCAAATAGATGGAGAGGGACACGCTATTACTCATCAGAATTCAGAACGACGTGCATAATTCTACCTAGTTTAGCATGAACTGTAATACATGTTGCAGGAGTTAAGCGAACATTCTTGTCATAAATCCATACTAGGCATCATGACTAAATTGTCACCAAAACCAATATTTTCGTCAGAAAACCCTGTTTCACTTATACCGGGTTTTCGAAGCATGTAAACTGTGTAAAAACACCCATTGCACACCCTGACAATTTCAGTTTTTTTCTGTCATTCTACAGCTGAGAGCAACATAAAACTGCATTTCCGGCATCGACTGAAAATTCTACTCTATGCCTCTAAAACCAACACACTGATCTTCCCTCGATTTCCCTGAGCCTGTCAGAAATTCAGCACGAAAGGATTCACTGAATTATGGCCCTCCTCCGATGCCTATATCTCCGACGTGATGATGCTTTGGGATCTGGGAATGTCAACTGATTATCCGCTGCAGCCATAGCAGAGAAATATGCAGTTAGACAGTGCCCAAGCAGTACTACTCTTGAAAGTAATAAACAGTGCAAGCAATTATGCAAACTAAGAACTTGAACAGGTTTCAGACTTGAAACCCCACAATTAAGGTACTACGAGGATGCCGAATCTCACACTAAACACTGATTTGACAATAATCAAAACAAATTGAAATTAGCATCCATTCTATATGCAGATAATAAGAACTTGAAATGGTTTCAGACAATCTATTTTAAATGACAGACCCACCACAACAATATTACCATACCATTCTGATACTACCAATTGATGTTATCCACAATATTGAGATAAAATCCTATCAATTGCAAACAATTTTCTTGTGATGCCTGACTAGCATTCCATCAACAGAAAATTCCTCACATTTGTCAGCAAGTAAAAACAATTCCTACTGCAATGTTCACTTCTGCCGTTCTACTACAATGTTGTTCAGACAAGTCCTAACTCAACAAGTAAAAACATGACTGAATTTTCCACAAATTCCACAAAACTTACTGAAAACTGGAAAGATCTACAGTGTTGAACTAACAAAAAGGACAAGAAAAAGATATGCATGCCATTCAGAAACATCGCCCACAGCATTGCCAACAATTTCAGAACAGCATAAACTATGTTCAGAAAAATTCAGAAGCATGCATGCATATCGAGATCGAACCTTCGCTGTTGCGCCTGAGAACGACGATGTGCAGGGTCTCCCGGCTGTGAGGCAGGTTGATGAGCAGAGGGCTGTGCTGCCCATGGCGGCCGGCGCGGACGCACACCGTGATGGCGTAGCCCACACGGTCCTCGAGCTCGTTTCTCAGGAGCTGCACCGACCTCCCCTCGTACTGAAACGAATCCCAGACTTCTTGTCCCTCGCCGATGTTGCCGTCGTCGTCGGCCTCCACGAACTGGATCTCCCGCTGCAGCGGGAGGAAGCACGCCTTGACGAGGCGCCCGACCAAGTCGGCCTGCACAAAAATCAGCAACGGTAGCACAAGGAATTTGATCAGTTCACGGTTTGTTCTTGCAAGAAATCAAGATTAATCCCCCACCAAATCAGCATCACAGATTGTAGCAGAACGAATGATGACGCAAACAAGTTGCAGAATCGCATAGAGGACACGCGACAAACACCAAGAATCGCAACAAGAGATGGGAGAGAGGATCGGAGGAGCTCACCTCAGGCACAATGGAGATCGGGAGCTCCGGCCTGCCTGGATTCGGGAGGACGGGAAGCACCTCCCACCGCAACGCCTTCTCGTCGTCGTTGAGGCGGCCATCGCCGACGGTGAGTCTGGGGCGGTCACCGAGAACCAGGGTACCCAGTTTGCCGCGCAGGTAGCGGCCGGACTTGTCGTGCAGGCAGAGGACGTGGTCGGCCCGCCTGACGGCACGCCACATGATGGCGTCGACCTCCGGCTGGTCGAAGTCGCGCTGGCCGACGACGGGGGCGGGCCAGCAGCAGGAGAGCGGCCAGCGGCGCACGACGGCGTCCGGGGCACCAAGGTAGCGGCCGTAGGCGCCGCGGAGGAGCACGTACTGCGTCGGGGGCGCCCCGGCGAGGACCATCTGCACCGCCCAGATTGCCTCGTGCGCCGGGCGGTGGCGGTCTGGGGCGTAGTGGTAGACCGACCTCCCGTCCTCGTCGGCCGTGACGTACGTCTCCTCCCACCAGTTCCGCAGCCGCGCGAACTGCACGCCCTGGAAAACCTCCATCCCGCGCGCGCCGCCGCGGATGGGACGACGTACGTACGCCGGAGATGCGCGCGCGGCGGCGAGTGGCCTGCTACTCCTCGGCTTCTCGGCGTGGCGTGGCGTGGCGCGGCGTGGCGTGGCGTGGCGTGGCGTGGCGAGGAAGGCGAGAGAGGCGAGGCGGTGGCGCATTTGAAAGCGTCGCGAGGAAGAGGGAGACGCAGGTCGCTCTCTGACGTGTGGGCCCTTTGGTCAATGAGGTCAAAAGAAGTCAATGACGGGTGGGCCCGAGCACAGTGAATGGGCGTCGCGAGGAGGAGAGGATAGAAGAGTCACGGGTTGCCAGTTGCGCACAGCCAGATAGCCAATGACTGGTGGGGTCAGGCACAGTCAATGACTGGTGGGCCCGAACACAGCGGGTGCAATAGGATTAGCCATCGACGAGCCGTGCTAACTTGAACGGAACTACGGAAGATGTGTGAAATTTGCTCGAACGAGGCGCACATTTAGGATTGAATTTGAGTACACTCTGCAAATTTCGTACAGAACGAGTTCTGAACTTGTTCTGGTCGCTGCAAACAAAACGAACCTGTTCAAAGGAGTGAATTTACAGAGTTCGGTTATTCTCTTTTTGCTTAAGGGTGATTAACATGAGTTACTATGATATGTAGAAGACTTCATCGGGCTCATTAACATGAGGATTTTCTTGGCCGTGTTGTTTTTGCAAAACAAATAAAATTCGAAGTCTGAACTCCAAAGTCATACACAACATTCAACTGCAAGTCATTTTGTTGCCATTTCAGTGGTACATTTGCTTCAAGGTGATATAATATACAGTAGCAAACTTGGCCACGAAAAAACTTCAAGCAATATACAAGTTAATGGTGAACTGTCTTGTTTGTGTTATGTACGGAGTAGTACTTTTGCATCAAACAATCTGTTTAGAGTAATCACCGCAATAGGTAAAAACTACCAACTACTCGGTACCTAGGTAGTAGAAGCAATTACTCCTGAACCATTATCTAAAAAAAGCAGCATCTGAAAACTGGCACCATCCAACATATTGCTAAGTAGAAATATATTACTGCTGATGCTAAACTTGGTAGAAATATGCATGATGTGACTGAATTCTGATGAATGATTACAGTAACTGAATCTCCTGAACCATTCAGGATTTCAGGTAGTATCCCTTTCTGTTTGGGAATTTTGAAGGTACTAGTTTGATATGTGGAATGTAGTTAATTTAGTAATTCTTTTTACTTATTCCAGTGATTGCTCTAAACCAATTGCTGGAGAGTTCTTGAAAAGTTTAAACATGCAGATTTCTTGACAGTTTGTCATGGCCAAGCTTGCTACACTACTACAATGTATTGTGGTGCTGCTACAACGGTGAAGAATCACTGAACTTAAACTGAAAGTAACAAAATGGCATGCAGCTGAAATGTACCAGTACATGATTCTGAATTCCAACTGAATCTTCTGAGTTCTGACTTCTGAATCACAGAACCGATCGATCGAACATCCATGGTTTGCCACTCAAATTCTGTAAACAGAGTCGTTTTGTTTGCTGCAGAGATGAGAACAAGTTCAGAACTCTCTTCTTTTGAAGTATGAATCTTGCAGAGTCCACTCAAACCCAATCCTGATTAACCTGCGCCGCTTCATTTGAGAAAATCCTGTACCATGAAATCTGCCGCACTCCCTGTTCTCGGGCCCACCCGTCATTGAGTACGGTTGACGACAGTTGACTGTGGGACACACGTGTCAGAGAGTGACCTGCGTCTTCTCGCGACGCCTTCAAATGCCACTGCCGCCTCGGCAGAATCCAGGAGGAGAGGAGGATTGGAGCATCGGGAGCAGAGATGGGACTCAACCACAAACCCGTGCATCACCTATAGAAAACCTAGAAAAAGGAGAGGATGTGAAGAGCAGCTCAACCCAGATCTTGGAGGAGGGAGGCTTGGCGCTGCATCTCGCTGGAGGGGAAGGACTGGCGGCGGCGGCGACCTTCGTTCGCGAGAGGGGAATCGTCGCTGCGGCACGCGAGCGACGCGACGAGATTTTCCACGTGGATCGGGCCGGGAATTTCCCAGCTGATGGGCTTCCAAATGGTCCGGAAAATTGGCCCGTGGAATTTTACTGCCCGGGCTGGCCGGCCAGGGAATAGGCCGGGATCCAGTATTATTCAGGTGGTGTTTGGATCCAGGACTTAACTTTAGTCCCTATATTTAGACACTAATTTAGAGTATTAAATATAGACTACTTACAAAACTAATTACATAAATGAAAGCTAATTCGCGAGACAAATTTTTTAAGCCTAATTAATCTATAATTAGAGAATGTTTACTATAGCATCACATAGGCTAATCATGGATTAATTATGCTCAAAAGATTCGTCTCGCGAATTAGTCCAAGATTATGGTTGGGTTTTATTAATAGTCTACGTTTAATATTTATAATTAGCGTCCAAACATCCGATGTGATAGGGACTTAAAAGTTCAGTCTCATCTAAACAGGGCCTCAGTCTCTGACTCGGTGATGGCCTGAACAGTTCGATCTCGGACTCGGCCGTTTTATCCTTTTAAATAGGTCGATGTGCATGCGCTAGCGCGACCGAACCATCCGAGCAAATCGCAATCGCAATCGCAAAGCAGAGGAAGAAAAAAACCAATTCATCCGTTTCCAGTAGGGCTCCCGGCCGCCTCCGGCAGATCCGTCGCCATGGAGGAAGAAACCGCCGTTGCAGACTGGTCGGCGCTGCCGGAGGACATCATCATCACCGTAATGGGGTGTTTGTCCGTCCTCGGCGACCTCGTCCGCTCCGGCGCCGTCTGCTCCACCTGGCGCGACGCGTACGCCACGTTCCGGCGACTCCACCTGCCGTCCACGACGGCGCAGCCGCCGTGGTTGCTCTACGCCTGTGACGCCCACGGCCCCGCCGCCGCCGCGCTCTACTGCCCTGCCACCGGCAAGTCCCTCCGTGTCCCGCTCCCGGCCGCCCTGCTCGATGGCCGGCCCGTGATCGGCGCGTCGCAGGGGTGGCTGGTCACCGTCGACGAGGCGCCCAACCTCCATCTCGTTCTCGTCAACCCCATCACCGGCGCCACGGCGGCGCTCCCGCCCATCACCACCCTCCACAACGTCGAGAGGTTCACGAGCAAAAAGGGCAAGACAAGATACAGGGTGTACGACGACATGGGATACAGCGAGGCGTCCCTTGAGTACTCGCCGGCGCAGGCGAGGGAATGGGTGTACCACCAGGTGGTCCTCTCGCGCAGCCCCGCCGAGGGGAGCGCCTGCGTCGCGCTCCTCCTGCACCGGCCGGACGGCTATGTCTCGTTCGCGCGGCTCGGCGACGAGCGGTGGACGCCAGTCGCGTACCCGGGACAGGACTGCTCCACCGGCTGTCGCCACGCCATCTACGATGACGCCGATGGCCTCTTCTACACGTTGCGGTACGACGGCTCCGTCTACGCGATCGACGTCCCTCGCGCCGCGGCCGCGTCGTCGCCGCCGGCGACGAGAGAGGTCATGCGGAGTGTGACGAACGCGGACAACGGCAGCAAGTACCTCGTCAGGGTGCCATGTTCCGGCGATCTCCTGCAGGTCTGGAGGTTCGTCGACTACGACGACGGCGACGAAGTCGAAGAGGATGAAGACGCTGAAGATTTACCACTCGGCACCAAGCACCTGCAGATCTTCAAGGTCGACGGCGGCGAGCAGAAGCTCGTGGAGGCGTCGGCGGCGAGCTTGGAGGATCATGTCCTCTTCCTCGGTCACGGGTTCTCGGCGTGCTTCCCGGCCGAGCACTTCCCGGCGTTGAAGCCCGGCTGCGCCTACCTCGCCGATGACCACGAACTCGTCAGCGTGAGTAAGCATTGCCGGCGAGACATTGGCAGATGGGACATGAAGAGAGGTCAGATGGAAAGGCTCTCCGGCGAAGATGACGTGGCGGCGCCGTCTCAGCCTTGGCTCAACTGGCCATCTCCTGTCTGGATCACGCCAACATTCTACTAGCGCATCTCGTGCCTTTAGTTAGCACCCACACATTTTATTTATTTTGTCAATACGAATTATTGTTCTCTTGTGAAGCATCAAGTAGTTTCTCGTGGAATGATGGCCAATTCGGTCTTTTGAGTTTTCTAGTATCTGTGCACATGCAACATACGTTCTAAATGTCATGTTTAAATGTCAGCCAAACTTAGATAGTACTGGCCCCGAATTTACCGAGCAACTTTCACCATTGTAACACATAAATGTTGTAGCCAATGACAAACATAACGAGATTACAATTAAGCAATAGCCCCATGCTGTGTTTAGTTGGTGGTCCAAAATTTATTTTGAAGTATACGGACACATTTGAAGTATTAAACGTAGACTAACAACAAAACAAATTATAAATTTCACTTGTAAACTACGAGACAAATATATTAAGCCTAATTAATCCGTCATTAGCAAATATTTACTGTAGCACCACATTGTCAAATCATAGCGTAATTAGGCTCAAGAGATTTGTCTCGCAATTTACATGCAAACTGTGCAATTGATTTTTTTCGTCCGCATTTAATGCTCTATGCATGTGTCCAAATATTTGATGTGACGGAAAAGTTAAAAGTTTAAAGCAAAAAGTTTGAATATAAACAGGGCCCTAATTTGGCCGTGCCCTTGCCAAACAGAGAGGCACGTCTACAAGCAACTAAACCAATGCTACGGAGGCCTAATTTTATTTCCACACATTTCTTCAGAAAATTCATTAGAAAGATAAGCACAATCTAGTTTTAACCTAGGGAAAATCCCTTTGTACACCGCTAAGGCCTTGTTTGGTTTGGAGGGGATCGAAGAGGATTGGAGGGGATCGAGTGGGAATAATTCCACACCACAATAGGTGTGGAATAAATCCCCTCCAATCCCTCCATCACAGGAAATCTGGGATTAACCGCACAAGAATTTAATCCGGGTCAGGAATGACAAGTATAGTAAGAAATTTATGATAGATACAACATGAGACCAGGATTTATTTCGGGCCGGGAACCAATTTACTCATGATAGGGACAATAAGAGATCAGGAATCAATTCACTAGTTAAGAGGTATAAAACTTTTTGTTGTACCTAGCTAATATAAGTAAATTGGTTCCCGACCCGGAATAAATCCCGATCTCTTATTGTACCTATTATAAATCTCTTGTTATACCTATCATTCCTGGCCCGGAACGAATCCTTGTGTAACCGAACAAGAACATAGCATGATCCCCAATGCTGCGCATCTTAGCAAACTTGTGCTTATCATTATCAACTAAATAAGGAGTATAACACATAATTTCTTCTGTAAATCCTCATCAGGTTCATCCGGTTCATAATCACCATCAGGAATTGTTCATAATCACCATCAGGAATTTCGTCTATTTCTTCCGAGTCTCTCAACCTCCGTACCTCCAAGAGATCGGGATTAGACCAACTTAAAATCCAATGTGCATATGGAGCCATGAGCCATCAAAGCTCAACAAGTAGAACAGGCCATCGTTCTTGTTATAGTTGTTCCTGTGATCACCTTAAACCAATTCTTAGATCAGCAAGGTACACGAGATAGTTCTTGAAAAGTTAATAGCACATCAATTTGTCTTGAGTGACTTGTATTCTGGTGTTGCAAGCCTGCAAAAATAGTGGAGAACCACTGAAATCAACCTGAAAGTAACAAGATGGCAATGCAGCTGAATGCAGTGACAGTGAGTGTGTCATGAGGGCTAGTTCAGACACCGAATTTTTCCTGGAATCACTGGGCCAATCGATCGAGGCCGCACTATTCTGACTTATCAGCATTTGTTCAATGAAACCAGACATGCATTTGTGATTAAACTCCTGCAATATACTATAGTATTACTGTTAGAAATGTGCATGATTCTGAATTCTAATGAGTGATGACAGTAAGTAACTGAATCTGCTGAGTTCTGAATCACTGGACCGATCAGGCGATCAAGCATTAGTTATGAATTCTAATGGTGGCTATGGGATCGTCCTAACAAATTTTGTCCAGAACTCTGTTTTTTGTTTGTAAAATTCGACAGTAATTTAAACTCACTCACTAGAAAGAGCTGGGCAGATTCGTTTTGTTTGTTGCAGAGATGAGAACAAGTTCAGACCACGTTTGTATGAATCTTGCATAGTCCACTCGTTCAAATCCAATCCTGAATTTATGCCTCCTTTGAGCAAATTATTTTTTGTTTACAAATATATCATTTCACTTATTCCAACTTAAAGAACAACCGGACGAAGGACTGATGGATTTCCACCTTGGAATCCTACTAAGTTCCTAAGGATGTGTTTAGTTCAGTGCAAAATTTGGATTTTAGTTGAATTTCGAGATGATATGACTGAAAAGTTATATGTGTATGACAGGTTAATGTGATGGAAAAGAACTGAAGTTTAGATTTAAACTTTGGATCTAAACACAGCCTCTGTAAATCCAAATCTTTGAAAACAAGCGGATAGACTCTGTAAATCTTGAACCTTCCATCGATCACAGGTTCACTGTGCACGGGCCCACCCGACTTCGGTTGACCAGGGAGCCCACCTGTCAGTGAGCGACCTGCGTCTCCGTCCCTCTCCTCGCGACGCCTTTAAATGCCACCGCCTCCCTCGGCGTCGAAACGCAACCGTCGCTAAGAAACTCTTCCACGGCTACTTGCCTCTCTCGTCTTCCTCCCCACGCCACTCGCCACCGCGCGCGCGCCACTCTCTCGCGACTCCTCGCCACCGCCTTCGGACCACGAGATTCCGGCGACTTTATGGATGATGAATTCGTGGGAGTGGTACAGATCGACGGCGGCGGCGGGGACGGGGGCTGGGGCCCTGTTGGAGCAGCGGCGGGCGTCGGCGAGGTCGGCGACGGTGCCCTTCCTCCCGATGCGGTCGCGGGAGCCGGCGGAGCCGATGGAGTGGACGAGCTGCGCCAAGCAGAGGCGAGACTCCGAAAACTATGCTTGGAGTACACCGGCACGGGCAGCATGCCATGCGCCGGCTGCTATCTCCGACTCGATAAAGGAATTCCTCATAAGAAGTTTAAGCTTCTCCTCCTTAAGGGGAATGGAGCCAAGCGTCATTTCGAGACAGTGCATAAACTCGACAAGAATAAGAAAAATCGCTGCAAAAACTGCGGAAGCTACTTCCGCAGTAAAGAAGAATTGCGAGACCATAAAGACCGAATCCATCAATAAGCTCACCGAGGTGAGCTCCTCCGATCCGCTCCTCTTCTCTTCTTGTGTTCTTGCCACGGTTTGGTTCTAATTGTGACGACGATGGAGGTTTTCCAGGAGGCGCTGAGGATCTGGAAGAGCGGCTCGTACCTCCACGCCGACGAGGACGGGAGGTCCGTCTACATCGGCAGCCTCCCCCGCGCCGGCGGCGACTCGAGGCACGGAACGATGTGGGCCGTCGAGCCGCCGATCGACGCCGCGGCGCCGCTGCCGCAGTACGCGCGCCTCCGCGCCGCCTACGGCCGCTACCTCGGGACCCCCGACTCCTACGGCTCCCCGCTCCCCTTCCTCCCGGTGGACGCCGCGCAGCGCGACCGCGACAGGGTGGAGATGGACGCCATCATGTGGCAGCCCGTCGCGTGCTCCGGCTCCGACGTGGTCGGCGGTCGCGATGCCCGCGGCGTCGTCCTCCTGCGCGACAGGTACGGGCGCTACCTCCGCGGCAGCAACAATCTCCTGGCTCCCCGCCGCAGCGTCCCTGTCAAGCCCTACGTCGTGAACGAGCATATGTTTCGGTGGGAGGTGGTGCGTGTCCCCCTGAGTGAAGCCAGGCCGGAGCTCCCGATCGCCGCTCAGGTGAGCTCCTCCTCTTCTTTCTCTTCTTGTGTGTTTGTTGCGTCTCTTGGAGTTGATTTGGGTGGGAGTTGATTTGGTTGTTGGCTTGTTGCAAGAACTAACCGTGTGGTACAATCTGTGAATTGATCGAATTCCTTCTGCTGCCATTGTTGATTTTGTGCAGTCCGGCTTCGTCGCGGCGTGCTTCCCACCGCTGCTGCGAGTGATCGAGTTCGTGGGCGAAGACGACCTCGACAACATCGGCGAGGGAGAAATCTGGACTACGGTTGAGACCAGAGGGAGGTCGGTGAGGCTCCTGAAAGAGAAGATCGCGAAGCTTGTGGGCTACGAAGACTTCACGATGTGCGTCAGCGCCGGCCGCCATGGGCAGTTCACCCCTCTGCTCATGGATGCCAACTTCGAGGGCGAAGATACGTTGCTGTGGGAGGTGGTGCGCGTCCCCCCGAGTGGAGACATGCCGGGGCTCCCGATCGCCACTCAGGTGAGCTTCTCCGATCCTTCTCCGCTCTCTTCTTGCGATTCCTGTTTTTTTGTTTTGTGTCTTGATGCTGATTTCGTCGGAAATTAATCTTGATTTCTTGCAAGAATTAACCGTGCAGTACAATTTGTGGATTGATCGAATTTCCTTCTGCTACCGTTGTTGATTTTGTGCAGCCCGGGTTCTTCGTCAGGGCGTGCTTCCCCCAGCCGCTGCGGGAGATCCAGTTCGTGGACGAAGCCGACCTCGACAACACCAGCGAGGGAGAAATCTGGACTACGGTTGAGATCAGAGGGAGGTCGGTGAGGCTCCTGAGAGAGAAGATCGCGGAGCTTGTGGGCTACGACGACTTCACGATGTGCGTCAGCGCCGGCCGCCATGGGCAGTTCACCCCTCTGCTCATCGACCTGCCTCGCAGCCGGGAGACCCTGAACATCGTCCTCCTCAGGACCAACAGCGAAGGTAAAAATCCCAGTTCGAGTATGAATGTTGCTGAATTTTCTGAACAATGTTTATGTGATTCTGAATTTTGCTTTGTCTCTGTTTCTCTGATTTTGTTACGTCAGTCCAGCACTGTAGATTTTCCTGTTTTCAGTAGTTTGTGCCTGTTGTGGAATTTGCTGAAAATGTAGTCATGATGTGTTTGCTTGTAGAGTTAGGATTTGTCTGAAGAATATACTGTAGAACAGCAGAAGTGAAATTCATCTGCCGAATTTTAATCTCGGCCACCACCAGACAATTCTATGCACTTTGGGCTTATCTGAATGTTGTAGGGTTTATCTGAGCTTTGTAGACTTTTTCACACAATGGTCTGAATACTGTAGCTGAATGCTTGATTGGTATGTAAATATGGTGTGCATCTGGGTTATTACTATTGTTGTGACTCAGAACTAAAGTGGATGGATTGAAACAAGTTCAAGCCTGCATTGTCTATTCAACTTGTTTCACAATGATCATATCGGTAGTTTAGTGTGAAATTCGACATCCAATATGCATGTTGCTGGATTTTCTGAACATTACTTATGTAATTCTTAATTTTGCTCTGAAAGGAATGCATGGCATGACGTGGGCAGTGCTTCTGTTTTTCTGGGCCTTTTTAGCTAGTTCAGCTCATCTTTTTTTGTCTGTTAGGACTTGTCTGAAGAATACTTTAGAACGACAGAACTATACAAGTGAAATATATCTGCACTTATCTGATGAATATTCATTTCAGGCATCATCAGACAATTGTGTGCACCTTGGGTTTAACTGAATGCTGTAGGATTCATCTGAATGTTGTAGATTTTTCAGTGTGAAATTCAGCATCCGAGTAGCATTTTAACATGTGAATTACTGGCACTGTTTTTACTTGCAAGAGCTGTAATTCTTGTGTATTACTCTTTCTAACTGCGTGATTTGTTTGCTATGGCTGCAGCGAATGATCAGATGATATTCCCGAATCCGAATGCATTGCCGTCAGCAGAGGCCACAGATGAAGACAATGCCACGATTGAGTGAATCCTTTTGTGCTGAAGTTCTGACAGGCTCAGGGAACTCGACAGAAGATTAGTGTGTTGGTATAGGGTGGAATTTTCAGTTCAGCCGATGCTGCAATGCAGTTTTATGTTTGCTATCAGCTGTAGAATGGCTGAAAACTCTGAAATTTTCAGTGTGTTCAATGGGTGTTTTTCGACGGTTTCACATACTTCGGAAACCGGTAAAACAGGGCCTTCTAAGGAAAATATTGGTTTTGGTGACAATTAGTATTCATGCCTAGTATGGATTGACGCCAAAAATGTGCTTATTCCTGAAGTATATTAGTGTTCATGCTAAACTTGGTAGAAATATGCATGATGTCTCTGAATTCTGATGAATGATCACAGTAACTGAATGTCTGAATCTCCTGAGGCATTCAGGCTTGCTGATGCTACATGCTATCTACCATCTAGTTAGTAGTTCTGTCTATACTTAGCTCAGGAGACCATAAACCTATTGTTAGATCCAGAAGTAAAGTACACAGGAGAGTTCTTGAAAACATAAACCAATTGTTAGATCCAGAAGTAAACTATACTTAGTTGGGAATTTTGAAGGTGCCGGTTTGCAAATGCTACATCCTGCACGCAACCCCTAACTCTGTGATTTCACTTATTTGAAAGAACTGGACAGCCAGATTCCTGTTGACTGTTGTTTGCAGCAGCGACCAGAACAAGTTCAGAGCTCGCTTTATGTGGTTCTGAATTTTGCTGTTGTTGACTAGAAATCTTGTGTTATGTAGTTCAGCACTGTAGATTTCCTAATATTGCGTTCCTGGCTTCCTGCCTGTCTGTTGAATTTGTGGAAAATGAAGTTTTGTGTAAAATCTTGTTACTGCTTGTTGAGTTAGGGATTATGTCTGAACTTATCTGACAAATTTTCATGTTAAGGAATTGCCAGAAAATCGTACACGCTAATACTGTGTATCTTGGCAATAGGATTTATCTGAATATAGCAGACAAGCAGAACCAGTAGTAGTTAATACTGTGTGCCTCTAGTTAACGACTATTGTTGTTAGGCACAACTAAAATGCATGGTCTAAAACCAGTTCAGGCGTTTATGGTCTGTTTAACTTGCTCTGAAAATGATCATATCAGTAGTTCAGTTGTGAAGTTCAACTTGTTTCGAGTGATACTTTTACTTGCAATAGTTGTACTGCTTGTGTATCATACTGTCAATGATTTGTAACCGCATGATTCCTTTGCTATGGCTGCAGCGGATAATCAATTGATATTCCCAAGTGTCAGTGAAATTGCTGTCAAATGGATCAAGGCGAACCAAGATTGATTTAGTGAATCCTTTTGTGCTGAAGTTTTGACAGGCTCAGGGAACTCGACAGAAGATTAGTGTGTTGGTTAGAGACATATTGAGTGGAATTTTCAGTTCAGCCGATTCTGGAATACAGTTTCATGTTTGCTCTCAGCTGTAGAGTAGCTGAAAAACCTCAAATTGTCAGGGTCTTCAATGGGTGTATTACCACGGTTTACGTACTTTGTGAACAGGGTTTCCTGACGAAAATATTTGTCCAATTAGTATTCATTCCTAGTATGGATTGATGACAAGAGTGTGCTTAACTACTGAAATATATATTGTTCAAGATAAGTGAACTCTGATGAGTGTTCTGAAATCTGATGCATGGACGCGACATGCTATGTGGAATCTAGTTAGTAGTATTTCTTGTTGTTCCGGTGATCACCTTAAACCAATTTTTAGATCAGCAAGGAACACAAGAGAGTTCTTGAAAAGTTAAGAGCACATCAATGAGTCTAGGACATTTCACTGTTAGAATGCAGATTTCTTGACATTTTTGTCATGGCTAAGTTTGCTATACTAGCACAATTTATTTTATGATTTGTATTGTGGTGCTGCAAGCCGGCAACAGTAGTGGAGAACCACTGAAATCAACTTGAAAGTAACAAAATGGCATGCAGCTGAATGCAGCGAGTGTGACTTGAGAGCTAGTTCAGACATCGTTTTTTTTTTCATGGAATCACTGCACCAGTCGATCGAGGCCGCACTCTGACTTATCTGCATTTGTTCGTGGAAGTCAGACATGCATTTTTGATGAACTTCTGCAATTATAACTATTACTGTTAGAAATTAGAAATGTGCATGATTCTGAATTCTAATGAGTGATGACAGTAACTGAATGTTCTGAGTTCTGAATCACTGGACCCGATCGATTAGCAATCCACGGCAGCTAGTTCTGTAAACTGGGTCGATTGAATCACTGGATCCTCCTAATTGTGTAAAAACTCACAGCTTGAAAGGATTGGACAGATTTGTTTTGTTTGCAGCAGCGATCAGAAGTTCAGAACTCTGCATTTTGTATATGAGCAATTCTATGGTTCTTGAGGAGGTACTATGAGATACCAAAATTTTAGTGTAAAATTTTGGTACTTTATGGTACCTCGTAGTACCTAGGTATCAAGAGGTACCAAATTTGCAATAGAAAAAATGGTACCTCCTTAATAACCGTAAAATTGCTCTTTGTATATAAGATTTGCAGAGTCCACTGAAATGCAATCCCGAACCTGCGCCGCGTCATTTGAGCAAATTCTGTACCACGAAATCTGCTGCACTCACTCCCTGTGGTCGGGCCCACCCGTCATTGACTACGGTTGACCAAAGTTGAAACGGGGACCCACCTGTCAGAGAGCGACCTGCGTCTTCTCGCGACGCCTTCAAATGCCACCGCCTCCCTCGGCTAACAAACTCTTCCACGGCTACTTGCCTCTCTCGTCTTCCTCCCCACGCCACGCCACCGAGGAGTAGCCACTCGCCGCCGCGCGCGCGCTCTCGCCACGCCGCGCTCTCGCCTCGCCACCGCGCGTGCATCGATCGCTCGCGGCGCTCGCCATGGCGTGGAGACGTGGGACGTCGCGCGGGTATCGGGTGGGGATGGAGGTTTTCGACGACGTGGTGTTCGCGCGGCTGCGGAGCCATGTGTACGGCTCGTACCTCCACGCCGACGAGGACGGGAGGTCCGTCTACCACGGCAGCCTCCGCGGCGGCGCCTCGCAGCACAACGCGGTGTGGGCCGTGGAGGAGTTGCTCGTACCTGCTCTTCCGTGGAGGAGTTCCGCGGAGGAGGAGGAGGCCGCCACGCGGTACCTGCTCCTCCGCAGCGCCTACGGCCGGTACCTCGGCGCCACCGACGCGGCCCCCGGCGAGGCCGCCCGCAACGCCACCGCCCGCGCCGCCGCCGCCAGCTCTGACGTCCGCCAACCACACGACCGCGAGGGTTGCTGCGGCTGCTGCTGCTGCTGCTGCCGACTCCCCTTCGGCTTGGTCGAGGCCACGCAGCGCGACCGCGATGAGGAGGAGCCGGAGGTCGACGCCATCATGTGGCTGGCAACCAGGTGCGGCGACCAAGACGTACAAGAGGATCGCGACGCCCGCGGCGTCGTCCTTCTGCGCGACAGGTCCGGGCGCTACCTGCGCTGCAACAAGAGTATCCTGGCTTGCCGCCGCAGCATCTCAGTCGACGCCAACTTCGAGGACGAAGATACGTTGCTGTGGGAGGTGGTGCGCGTCCCCCCGAGTGAAGACATGCCGGAGCTCCCGATCGCCACTCAGGTGAGCTTCTCCGATCCTTTTCCCCTCTCTTCTTGCGATTCTTGTTTTTTTGTTTTGTGTCTTGATGCTGATTTCGTCGGAGATTAATCTTGATTTCTTGCAAGAACTAACCGTGCAGTACAATTTGTGGATTGATCGAATTTCTTTCTGCTACCATTGTTGATTTTGCGCAGCCCGGGTTCTTCGTCAGGGTGTGCTTCCCCCAGCCGCTGCGGGAGATCCAGTTCGTGGACGAAGCCGACCTCGACAACATCAGCGAGGGAGAAAACTGGGCTACGGTTCAGATCAGAGGGAGGTCGGTGAGGCTCCTGAGAGAGAAGATCGCGGAGCTTGTGGGCTACGACGACTTCACGATGTGCGTCAGCGCCGGCCGCCATGGGCAGTTCACCCCTCTGCTCATCGACCTGCCTCGCCGCCGGGAGACCCTGCAGATCGTCCTTGTCAGGCCCAACACCGAATGTAAGCAGCCTAGTTAAATATGAATGTTGCTGAATTTTCTGAACAATGTTTATGTGGTTCTGAATTTTGCTGTGAATTCTAGTAACGGATGGCATGGAGTGGGCAGTGTCTCTGTTTTTTTGATTTTTTTTTGTGTCAGATCAGCACTGTAGATTTTCTAGCTTTCAGTAGTTTGTGCCTGTTTGGAATTTCCTGAAAATGCAGTGATGATGTATTTGCAGAACTTATCTTTCAGTAGAGTTAGGATTTGTCTGAAGAATACTGTAGAACAGCAGAACTGCAGAAGTGAAATATATCTGCACTTATCTGATGAATATTCATTCCAGTCATCATCAGACAATTGTGTGCACCTTGGGTTTAACTGAATGCTGTAGGATTCATCTGAATGTTGTAGATTTTTCGGTGTGAAATTCAGCATTCGAGTAGCATTTTAACATGTGAATTACTGGCACTGTTTTTACTTACAAGAGCTGTAATTCTTGTGTATTACTCTTTCTAACTGCGTGATTTGTTTGCTATGGCTGCAGCGTATGATCAGTTGATATTCCCGAATCCGAATGCATTGCCGTCAGCCGAGGCCACAGATGAAGACGATCCCACGATTGAGTGAATCCTTTTGTGCTCAAGTTCTGACAGGCTCAGGGAACTCGACAGAAGATTAGTGTGTTGGTATAGAGTGGAATTTTCAGTTCAGCCGATGCTGGAATGCAGTTTTACGTTCTCTCAGCTGTAGAATGGCTGAAAAACCTCAAATTGTCTGTGTGTTCAGTGGGTGTTTTTCGACGGTTTACGTACTTTGAAACCGGTAAAACAGGGCTTTCTGACGAAAATATTGGTTTTGGTGACAGTTAGTATTCATGCCTAGTATTGATTGATGACAAGAATGTGCTTAATCCTGCAATATATTGCTATTCATGCTAGACTTGGTTACAAATATGCATAGCGTGTCTGAATTCTGATGAGTGGTTCCAGTAGCTGAATGTCTGAATCTCCTGTAGCATTCAGGTTTGTTCTAGTCTATGTATTTTGGAATTTTGATAGGTTCCGGTTTGCAAATGCTACATGCTAGTATCTGCTGGTTCTAAACTTACTGATTACCCTAAACCAATTGTTGGATCCAGAAGTAAAGTACACAGGATTAAGACTATGTCTGATGCCCTGAAGCATTCAGGGTTTGTCCCAGTCCTTGTAAGAGTAATTAGGAATTTTAGAAAACTTATTTTTGTAAATAGTCCCTTCCACTCTTGTAATAGGTTTTTAGTTCTATTTATAAAATAAGTTTTCTACAAGGTCTAAATGTAAAAACAACTTCAGATATGCTTCCACATCAGGAAGTGGATTTTTGTCCCTCGAGAAGACATCCCATCGTTTTGTGTATGGTGTTCAAAAAGTTATCAAAAAATTTGAAAACAATTGTCAAAAAAATCAATATATGATATATCTTTTCACAAACATACAAGTTAAAATTTGACTTATACAATTCGAAACAAAAATAAAAAATTTGACCGTGAATTACTCATTCTAGTCATAGTCAAATTTATTACCTTTTACAGTGTTTGCATTCCTAAAATGGCATAGATCTAACCGCTCACGATGAAAGGTATCAGAGGTAGAAAGGTACTAAGGATTAAAAGGTAATTGATAACAGGGCAATTATGTCTAACAACGTATGGACGTACCGAAAGGTACGGTGTAAGTGGATTTGAAGGTACCACAAGGTACCGCGTAAGTAGTTTTTAAAGGTAACGTAAAATATGATTTATGTGGTGGGACAAAAATTACATTCTCTTCTATTCGGTTTCCAATCTTCGGTCGTTCTGTTTGCGTCGGTTTTCAAACTTTGGTCCGATTTACGTGGTACATATCATATTCGCATGATCTTGATAATTATTTCCAGTTAGTCATTAATTTACATAGCAATTTGGTGATCCATCGTTTGATGAATGTAATCAAAGATCGAAAGGACAACAAATTGAGAAGATTTACGCACCTAACAAGAACAAAACAAGTTCAATGAGGAAGATTTGCGAAAAAAAAACTAAACAAATCGTCTGACAGATCGGGACCGTGCGGCCACTTCTAGCTCCGGCGAACATAGGTAGTCCTGGACCACTTCCTCCCGGTCCTCTTCCTCCGCCGCCCCTCCCTCCAACCACCGCCTCCGGCCACACGTCCACCGCCGGCCCTCAATTCTCCACCTTTCAACTTATCGAAGAACACGTAAACCTTACGTATGAACAGAACGTATCTAAGAACGATGCAACGCAACAGGCTACAAGCTAATTCCTTCGATACCTTCTCATACCTTTTCATATGTGTAAAAGACACATTTGTCATTCTAATATCATCATATTTATATTAATGCCACCTATTACAATATTTTCTTTCCATACCTTGCCCCTCGCAGATCATCGGCTCACGTCGCCCCACCTCCTTTACCTCGCAAACATCGTATAAATTGAATTTGAATATGCATGTTTGTGAAGTGACATATCACATATTGATCTATCATACTTTTTTTAAGGAAATTTTTTGATGACTTTTTAAGTGACATGTAAAAACGGGGCATATCCAAATAGAGTTTCCCTTCCACATCACTGTCCTTTGTAAAGGTGATAAGCTCACCCAAGGATGCTCAAATTACATCCAGCACATCCATGGCCATCTCAAACGCAATGAAATTTCTGCGGGTTGGGATTAAGTTCAAGTTCTTTAATCTCAACCTGCCGAAATTTATTTTCTTTGCAATTACCCATTTGAGTAAATTTAAAGCAGCAAATAATCATGTTTCAAGCAAAGTGAGTGTTTTTCTTGTGCGGTAACTGAAGCCTCAATTTGGTGGCGGAGACCTGGTGGCCTTCTGCGTGCTCTCAACACAGCTTATTTCGATTGCTTATCCGCCAAAAATGGTGGAGCTTGAACGAAAAATTGGAGAGGACCAATATGATAGTTTCATTTAAAATAGGAATATTATGCTTTGTTTAAAACTTGAGCATAGAGAGTCAACAAATTCAGTGTAACTTTTCTAAGACTGAGGAGACATGATTAAGGTTAGCTTCTACTCCTATCGTCCCAAAACAAAACTTAATGTAAGAGGAGATATGACCCCTCCTAATACAATGAATGTGAGACCCTGTTTAGATGGGACTAAAACTTTTAAGTCCCTATCACATCAGATGTTTGGACATTAATTAAAAATATTAAACGTAGACTATTAATAAAACCCATTCATAATATTGGACTAATTCACGAGACGAATCTATTGAGTCTAATTAATCCATGATTAGCTTATGTGATGCTACAGTAAACATTCTCTAATTATGGATTAATTAGGCTTAAAAAATTTGTCTCGCAAATTAGCTTTCATTTATTTAATTAGTTTTGTAAGTAGCCTATATTTAATACTCTAAATTAGTGTCTAAATACATAGACTAAAGTTAAGTCCCTGGATCCAAACACCACCTGAATAACCCTTTATCCAGATTCGTTATATTAGGAAGGGTCACATTCTCTCATTGGTTGAGTAGAGTGATCAAAGAAACACCATCCGGACTGTGTATTAGATTGGTGCTACTAATGATGAAACAAAAGATATAGTATTGGGTAATTTTAACATCCTCGAAAAAGTACCGGGAATTACCATATTTTCTAGTATAAAATTAATTTGGTACCTCTAGATACTAAATATCTCGAGATAAAAAAAATAGTATAAAATTTAGATACCTCGAGATACTTTTTCAAGTACGATAAAATTTCTCTATAGTATTACTTTGATAACGTGCTACATCGAAACAAATGCTACAGTGCCCAAAAATAAAAAAAACATATGCATGAAGCCAAACAGTTGATGAAATATGGGGATAGCTAACTTTGAATTCAGGGATTGCAGAAGTGTAATAAATGACCTAATAATCCTGGATAATTAAGAACTTAAATCTAGCTCGTTAATTAATTATGCTTTCTCCTTTTGGCACAAGGCACATCATCATCTGCAGGCGCGTGACCCTCCCCGTCCTCTTGACCCTCCTCCTCGTCCTCGTCCTCGTCGTCGTCGTTGTCCTCCTCCTCCTCCTCGTCCGGTATCGCTAACGCCGGCGGCGTCGACGGCTGCGCCGGCGGCTGGTGGAAGGGCTCGGGCTGGAGGGCGACGTCGTCGGCTGGGGCTGGGCTTGACGTTGCCGGATGGTGTTGGCGAGCGCGCTCGGCCTTGAGGCGGTCGAGCTGCTGCTGGAGCTTGAGAATCCGGCCGTAGGCGCCAAGGATGGGGTCCTCGACCCTCGCGTCGGCGAGGTAGACGACGGCCGCCATGCTAATCACGGTGGAGCCGTTGGGCCGGATCCCCTGCTTCTCCGCCTCCGAGAAGCCGAGGATCCTCTCCATGCCGAACATGAGGCGCGCGTACCAGAAGCGCTTCGGCTTGTCGGCCGGGGGGGGGGGGGGGGCGCAGTTCGGCGGGCAGCTGCTTGCCCCGTGGTGTGCGCACGCGGCGCACGCCTGTTGGGTCGTCGTCGTCGTCGGCGACGGCGGCGGCTCCGCCATTGATTAATTCTTCGTCAGCGAGGGGGTCAAGAACTCGATGAAATTTCGGCGGCGTGGCGTGGCGTGGCGAGGCGAGGCTAGTGTGGTCGGCTCGCTTCGGGCACCGAAGCAAAAATATAGATATAGTGCGAGAGTCTGTGTAGTGCACGTACTGAGCCCGATTCGAATTCACTGTTAACCTCTTGTGTTGGTGGGTTAATTCGTCTCCATCTCAAATTACATATTCAACTGCCTCTGGATTATGTGCCCCAAAACGCGAATATTACCACTGTAATTTCCTGCTCACATCGGCGGTTTCAACTGCGGTTAAGGATGAAAAAGTTAAAACGGAAAGTAAGCAGTCCTCCACAGTAACTATCAGGTTTCGTTTCACTCCCACCGTTCGATCATCCACCATCTTCCTTCGGTAGTTAACTGTTCTTAATAACTCATTAACTAGCTAGTCCAGTTAATTCTGGAGAATCGTTCCATTGGAGCAAGCTTCAATTCTGAAACTCCTAGACTCTGAATCAGACCTCTAAAACTCTGAAGATTCAGAGAACATCTGAACTTGTTCTGCTCGCTGGAAACGAAACGAATCTGCTCAAAGGAGTTAATCTTGCGAGAATGCGAGTCGTTGCGCATCTGAGAGCAACATAAAACTATATTCAGCATCGGCAGAAAAATCTACTCTCTGTCGCTAATCGACCAACGAAACTTGTGTCAAGTACCAACAAAACAAGTTCAGCACAAAAGGATTCACGGAGTCTGTCTCTAATAAGCTGACGAACCTTCTGTCGACGGTCCTGTCAAGTACCCATAAACATCTGGGGAAAGTTTCAGGTGGAACCCCCTCTTTCAGTGAAACCATGGAACCTCAACTGAGGGTGTGTTTAGATCCAAAGTTTTCATCCAAACTTCCTACTTTTCCCATCACATCAACCTGTCATACACACACAACTTTTCAGTCATAGCAGAGAAACGACACAGTTAGACTCAGGCAGTGTGGTACAATCATAAAAGCAATAGTATTCTTGAGAGTAAAAACTGGGCAAGTAATTCTGCAAATTAAAGATGCTGAATTTCACACTAAACACTGGCATGATCATTTTCATAACAAATTGAAATTAACATTCATAACATATACAAAAAATATTTTCCTCAAATGAAAATATACAGAAAATAAAGCATTGAAGGTGTATGAGACCATTCATTTCAGGTATACTGGAGACAATGTCAACACATCATTTCAGCTACAATTCTGTTTGTGTACAATATTCAGATAAATCCTACTCACAGAGGGTATTCCCAAAGTGCATACAATTTTGTCCTGATGAGTCCTAAACTTGTGTTGTTCTACATGCATTCTCATCAACAGAAAATTCCTCAGATGAGTCCTAAACTCAAGTCAACAGTATATTTCGCTTGTGTTCTACAATATTCTTCAGACTAGTCCTAACTCAAGAATCAAATGCAGGATTGCATTTTTCAAAAAATTCCACAACAAGCACAAACAATCTACAGCGATGCACTAACAAACAATTACCCGCATAATTGTTCAACAATTACTAGCGATGCGTTCCTTTGACAGCAAAATTCAGAATCTACAGTCATGCACTAACGAAAAGAACCTGGAGAACGGAAACACTGCCAGCATGCTAGGCTGCTTAACTCTGGTGTTCAGAACCACATTAACAGTGTTCAGAAAATTCAGAAAGAGATCGAACTAGGCTGCTTACCTGCGGTGTTGGACTTGACAAGGACGACGTGCAGGGTCTCCCAGCTGCGAGGCAGGTACTCAAGTCTCTGACCCATCAGCATCAAGAATTGCCACAATTAGAACTCAAATCGATATAATCTTTGGCGCAAACGAGTTCAAGAATCGCAAGAAGAGAGGGGACGAGGAGGAGGAGCTCACATGGCCCATGGCCGGGATGTCTCGCCTGAAGAGAGTTGTGGGGACGGGAAGCACCTCCCACTGCATCGGGATGTTGAGGTCGCCGTCGTTGAAGGCCGCGACGCCGGCGAGGCACGGGAGCCACCTCTCGTTGACGCGCAGGTAGCGCGCGGTCGTACTTGTCGTGCAGCAGGACGACGCCGTCGCCAGCCGCCGGCGCCCAGCCCGACGGCACGCCACATGATGGCGTCGACCTCACCTCCTCCCTGTCGAAGTCGCGCTGCCCGGCGGCGGGCCAGAAGCAGAAGGGCGCGCCCAGAAGTGGCTGATGGCGTCGGGGGCACCGAGATAGCGGCCGTAGGCGCCGCGGAGGAGCACGTGGCCCGGGAGGAGGACGCCGTCGCCGCCCTCGGCCTCGGCGTTGATCGTCTTCGCTGGCGAGGAGGTACCTGCCGACGCTGCCGTCCACCCGCGACCGAAGCCGGACGGACTCCACGTCCTGGAATACCTCCATTGCTCCCGCCGCCCCGCCGGTGGTCGCCTCGCGCGCGCGGGCGCTCGCGTCACCAAGCGGGCTCCTCTCCTCTCATCGGCGACGGCGAGGCGTGGGCGCGTGGCGTGCGGAGGAAGACGAGAGGAGGAGTTTGTTAGCGACGGTTAGAGCTGGGACATGGGCCGTTCCGGGCTAGGCACGGCCCAGCGTGCTTCGTGCCAAATCGGGCCGTGCCAGCACGGCGTCTTCATGGACGCCGCCCAAGCACGGCCCAATGGCCCGATGGGCCTATTCGTGCCGGGCCGGCACAAGCACGGCGCCTGATGGATGGATGAGAAAAGCCCATCGGGCCATTATCGTGCCATGGACCATCGGGCCGTTTACGTGCCGTGCCGCCCGTCGTGCCCGTTGTCCAGGCCCAGGCACGGCCCACGTACGGGCTGTGCCGGACCGTGCTTTCTAGCGTGCCGGGCCGTCGTGCCTTGGGCCGGCCTGATAAAGCACGGCCCAAGTCCCAGTTCTAGCGACGGGTGCGACGGGGAGGTGGGCATTTGAAGCGTCGCGAAGCACAGCACAGGGCTCTGTCTGTCTGTGCAGGTGGGCCCAGAAACGGTCAAGTCTGGTCAACTGCGTAACTGACAGGTGGGCCACCCCACAACTAGCCATAGTTCGGAGTGGATGACGAGTGCGCGCGCTGACGAGCCGCCGCGGCCGCCACGACGACGAGTTCGTCGCCTTCGAGGCCGGCCGCCGCTCGACGGCTTCCTCCACCGCGCGGCACGGAGGCGCCGCCACGCTCGCGCGCCCCGGCTTCCCTGCGCTACGCCTCCGCCACGGCTGCATCGGCCAGGTCGCGCTCCGCCTCCGCCACGGCCTCTCCTGATCTGGCCGCATCGGCCAGATCAGGAAGGGGCTCGACGAGATCTCCCCCAACTATGCCGCCTACGACATCGCCGGCCTGGGATGCCCGTGCTCCCTCTTCCTCCTCCGCCACCATTCTCGCCGTCAGGTACGCTCTCGAACTACTCATCGTTGTCGGGGAACAGGGCGATCGAGGAGGGTGGGGTGGAGGTGGGCTGAGTGCGCGGCGGAAGCCGTCGGGGTCGGATGCGGCGGAGATAGACGAGCGCGGATCGGACGGATGCAGGTGGGGAAGGAGCGGCGGCGGAGGAGGATTGAGGTAGGAGTTCGTCGCCCGGCCGCCGGCCAGCTTGATCTGACGACCAGCGGCAATCCCAAAAATTTGACGAACCTGATTTTTTTTCAAATACACCCCTGGTTTGGATTGCTGTCATTGGAAGCGACTTGGAATTTCTCAAAATTGCTCGAATGAGGCGCAGATTCAGGGTTGGATTTTAGTGAACTCTACAAAATTCATACAACAAAGTTTGAACGAACGGAAAAGGGAGTGTCCAATTCTTTCAAAGTGAATTTACAGAAGGATTTTGATGGCCGCCATGGGTGCTCGATCCATCGGTGCTTCGCCAGCTGTGCGAGGAAGAAGACGACGACGAAGACTAGTAGGACATGGATGCATCGGCTACGTGTCGAGCTCGAGGGGATCAGGGGACGATGAGGCAGAGGCCGTCTTCTTGGTCGCCGTCGTCTTCCTCCGGAACGGCCGGCACGCCTTGACGCTGAGGTCGACGGCGGCGGCGAGCGCCACGAACATGGCGGCGTCCTCCATGCACGTGACGTGGCGCATGGCGAGCTGCACGAGCGGCCTGCTGCTCCGGGACTCCCCCTCCACGCGGCAGCTCATCACGAACCCGCCGCCGGCGCACGCCTCGCCCAGGCTCGCCGCGCAGTGCTCCGCCCCGGCGGCCAGCGCCGGCGCCTGCCTGTCCATGTCGATGGCGAACTCCCCGCCCCTGTCGCTGCGGAGCGGCGTCTCGGCCACCAGCATGCACGCGTCCTGGCCGTCGGGGAGGAGCCGCAGCCGGAGGCACACCGTGTCCTGCCTCGCCGCGCCGCCCTGATCCCGCCACGCCTCCAGCCGCCCCCACGGCTGCCAGCTCTCCACCGCCGCCGACGACGACGTCGACCCCGGCGCCGTCGCGCCGGCGCGCGCGATCAGCCACGCGCCAGGGTTGGACCGCGCCACCGTGTCGCAGCCGCTCGCCGCCACGAACGGCGTCGCCATGAACGCCGCGGCGACGGCGGAGCCGGACAGGTCATGGATCACCACCTTCCACCCCTTCCTCTCCCTCCTCCTCATCATCTCCGCCTCCTTCTCCTCGCCGCCGGAGCTCGACCAGTACAGCTGATCCGAATGTGATCCACTGCCAACCAAACAAGAACAACATCAACGACATGATCACCAAGACGAGCACGACGGCGTCAATGGCGTCCTCTCACCGTCTGTCGCGGATGAACTTGCAGCTGAAGATGGGCTGCCGGTTGCGGCCATGGAGCTGGACAACCTGCGGATTCAGCGCGACCTCGTCGTCGAACTCAAAGATGTACCGGGGATCAGCCTCCATCTTCACCCTCAAGTGCAGCTCCGGCTTGGCCTCACCGTTGCCAATGCCAACCCAGCCATGGTGAAGCATCACCGGCTTGCCGTCGCGCCACTCAGGCCCAATGTCCATCCTGACCACCCCAACCAGCCTCTTCATCCCGGTGACAATGCCACAATGCCCGCCACGCCGGCCAACGTACACCGCGACCTCGAGGTAAGACCCATGAGCTCCGAAACACCCCGGTGCCGACAGCGCCTTCAGTTCAGATTCGTCGAGGGAGAAGACGGCGGCATTGGTGTGTGGATCAAGGTTGAACTCTGAATAATTGATCAGAGGGACAGGAGCTATCTGGACAGGGAATCCTCGGAGCCGGATCTCGCAGTGGAAGCTCCGGGCCGCCTTCCTCGCATTCGCACCGGGGAGTTTCAGACCAAGCTGTCCAACTGAAAGTCTGACAAAAATCTGGGGATCCATTCTTCGTGTCACTGAAGATTAGCTACTTCCATGGCACATGCTGAAAAATTCACAAATCATTGAAGTCAGATATAATTTGATGTAACAATCAATTGTAGGAAAAGAAATGAATTCTGCAAATTAGCACTAGGTGTGCAGCTGATCTTAAAATTCTTCCAATAGTAGTGTATGGTATGACAGTATATGCTCCAAGTGATATGGAACTATGAAAAAGACTACATAGTAGCAAATCCAGAAAGAAATGCATAGAGCATGTTTCAGTATCAGCTATGTGCTATAGGAATGGCACATGAAAAGTAGCAACATTGCTGTTGCATGAAGATATCACTTTCAGATTCCATTCAAAAAATTACATCACTTTTACCCTTGTAGGTATGACCAAATTCTACAGAAAGTAAAAGCCTAACTCCGTAGCCAGATTCAGCTCATCACTTCAAAATCATAGGCTTAAAGCGCCAGATAGAAGCTGATTGCATTAGATTAGACCATAGCCAAATTCAGCTCATCACTTCAAAATTACAGATCACAGGCACAATTTCTCCATCTGTAACCAAGTTTTATTAGGTCCACCTAATCTAAGGTTTAAGATCAGCCAAAAAAAAACTTAAAAGTAAAAGAACTAATTATTTAGGAAATAAAAATGATTTACTTAGTAAGTTAGCTGTTTTTTTTTTCTCAACTCAAAGTAGATTTTGCCAGCATTTGGAATTAGCATTCAGACATGTCTTTAATCGTGATTTTGATCTAATAGAAGGTACAGTTCACCTTAAACATTCCCCACTAAAAAAAGAACACGCAACTGACGCCTAGATGCTTGCCTTTCCCCCATTTTTTTTGTGAAACCTTTGGGATCCTTGACAAAATTTAAAGAAAGATGAATGTTGATCAAGTAGCATATTCTTCCCCTTTGACAATCCCTAGTGCAAGCACTAAAAAAGGCAAGCATTGCTAATGCCACTCAACACCTCTTAGCTTAAACAACTGAAAGGGAGAAGAAAGGAAGAAAGAAAAAGAGGCATCTGGTGCTTTGCAATCATGCCATTGAGTGGTTATCAATGGCAATTGCCAATGCCATTAGCATGCCACCTCTGTTCAAAGCTCCTCTCATCAGTCAGGCACTGACAGTGTCACTGCAACTGCAAAAAAAAAAAAAAAAGGCTTGTGCAACCAAAGAAAAGCATCCAAGAAGAGCAGCATCAATGGCGCGGCGCGACATAAGCTAGCCCGTGTGTCGCGAAAAGGGGCGGCGGCCATGGCAGCAATGGTGGTGCATGGGTGAGGTAGCCCAGGATCAGAATTCTCCCTTTGCTCCCATTTCTTTAACCCTCCAAGCAAAGCTTCCTCCTCTGTCGTATGATCAGCGTGCAAAGTGGAGATTCCAAACCTTCCTCTCCACCAACAAGTCCTCCTCCGGCGCAGGCACGCCACGCCACGCCACGGCGTGGACAAGGCCGAGCACATAAGGCGGCCGCCGCCGCAGCCGCAGCCGCAGCCGCAGCCGCAGCAAAAGCTTCGCTGCATCTCACAATGTTAAGCGCGGCGAACGGCGGCGGCGTCCACCATGATCACCGGGGTGATTACCCCCCCGACCAGCGGTACGGCAACGGCGGCGAGGAGGCCAGACAACAGCAGCCTTCGTGGCAGCCGCCGCGGGACCAGGTGACGCACCACCCGCGGGGGCGGAGGGCGCACCGGTCGGGCCCGCTGGAGTGGACGGCGGCGGTGGTGTTCACGGTGCTCGCCGTGGTGGTGCTCGTCGCGGCGGTGGCCGTGCTGGTGGTGGTGCTGCTGCTGCAGCCGCGGGCGCCGTACCTCGCCATCCGGTCGGCGCGGCTCGACGACCTCGTCTACGACCAGCAAGGGGCGCTGGAGGCGGCGCTGTCGCTGGGCGTCGCCGCCGAGAACGGCAACGCGAGGTCGGGCGCCACCTTCTCCGACTTCGAGCTCCGCCTCGTGTTCCACCGCGTGGTCATCGCCATCCTTCGCGCCGACCCGTTCGACGTCCCGCCCAAGGGGTCGCTGCCGCTGGGCTACGTGGTGCGCTCGTCGGGGATCCCGCTGGACAGCTCCGGCATGGCCGCCATGGAGGCGGCGCTCGCCGACGGCGTCGTGCCGTTCACCGTGTCCGGCCAGGCGAGCACGCGGTGGAAGGTGGGTGGCCTCGTCCCGTTCAAGTACTGGACGCGCCTACGCTGCGACCTCCGATTCTTCTGGCCCAATGGCACCGCCGTCGACCTCAGCTGCAGCTCCAAGCCCAAATCCAAGAGCAGCTAGCTAGCTAACCATCAAAAGAAAAGATACTTCATCTTTCTTGCTCCAATCCAAGTTCTCCATGGATTTCTGATGTGATCAAGATTCAAGAACATGCCACTGCCTTTCTTGGATTAATTCTTCCTTTCATCCTTCCTTTCTTCGTTGATTCAGTTCATGTATAGATTGGTCAAGAAAATGACAACTACACCCCCAATTTGTACAATTAATTAGATTGTGTAATTGATTTGAGGTGTGCAGATTAAGATCATAGTAGGTCCTAATTAAGGGGAAAGAAAGGGTAGTGGAAACAGTCTGGCATGGTAAAGTAAAAACTGATTAGGAAAAGATGTAGTCTTGTTGCAAGATTGAACAAGACCAGTGACTTCTTTTCTTGCAAGCTTTGTTGCTTGGAGGAAACAAATTCCATGGAGGGGAGGAGGAAAGGGGCAAAAGGATAAAAAGAGAACACCATGAAAAGAAGCAAAGCTACTCCTATGTAGGAAGGAAATGTGCTTTTGGTAATGGAGATTGTGGCCCTAGCGCCATGCATGTGCTTCTTCTCCTCCTTTCCATCCCTTGATCCTTGTCATGTTCTTTCGCTTGCTTTTGTTTCAAGGATTATCTAGAAGAATAAGTGAATAATAACCAGTCTCAGATCCCAAGAATCTCCAACTCATCCATTATTCAACCACTTCTCTCTGACCGGATACATCTTTGATGTAGAAGTTGGATTGATTAATTATCCTTATCGGAATAAAAATCCTCTCAACCACTCTCAAGCTCAAACAACACACTAGGAAGCTACCAATACATTTCTATGTAAACAAAAAAAAAAAACTACCAATACATATACATACATCAACATCATGCAGTATATACTATAGTAGATTAGTACCAATAGTAAACCCCTAAAATTGAACAAAAGCAATAGGCAAAAAGAATTGAAATTGAGTTGAATTTGGATTTCGGACCATACCTGTCAAAATTGGTTGGTTTCTTGGCAGAACTCAGCAACGGAGAAGAAGTGAAGAACACCTAGGAGAAGGAAGAAGAAGAAGCAGCAGCAACAGGCAGGACACCACTAGAGCTCAGCCAAGAGACAGGCGACAGATGCTCCGATTCTAGACGACGACGACGAGCTCACCGGAATCCATCCCGCCGGCGACGACGACCCGCCCTGCGTGATGACCTCGCCGCCGCCGAACCCGAATTCCATGATCGATTTTCAGAGGCCGAATCAATCGCAGGTGGAGAAGAAGAAGAAGAACAAGAGCAAGAACCAGAAGAATACAGCTGCTGCTACTGTTAGCTACTATAGCTTAGCTATGCAGGAGAGAGTGGGAAGAGAGAGAGAGAGAGAGAGAGAGGAAGACGACGACGACTTTATACGCCGCGGCCGCTGCCCAATGCGATTGCTCCTACCACGCGGCAACAAAGAGAAAGTCATTAGTTTAATTTAGTAACTAACTATAACCATAGTAAAAGAAATTACCACTACTCACTGATTCGAGCATGGATAACAGTAAAGCTAAAACTAACTGGTGTGGAAAAAAGGAGAAAAAAAAATGAGAGGTGTTAGCTCTCATATAACAATTAGTTCTACACGTGTTCCAATATATTTACATTAAATCCATAGTGAAAAAAAAAGAGAGTTGAGAAAAAAATAGAGTTAATTTTAGAGTTAATTTATTACTCCATCCATCTAACTTTAATAGTCATATTTCATCTTGACACATAGACCAAGGATAAACAATTCTACTTATCATCCATTACTAGTCATTCCTCGTAAACAAGCGATTCATTAATATTTACATTTCTCGATGCCCATGTAGCCAATCTTGTGTGAAAGAATGGAGAGTCACGCATTAAATCCGAAAAAGTCATTAAGATGATAGGTTGTTGGCTTGAAATATGCCTATCAAAAATAAATTTTTCAGATTTGGAAATATGACTACCAAAAGTAGATTAGATGGAGGGAGTATATATGTAAACTCTAATATAAATTAATAGTCAATAGCTTTACTATTAAACTTGTTGTTAGGAATTGAGCTGATTGAATAAGCAAGCAAAGGTTATGTGCCGTGCTGTTGCTGCTGCTGGTGCTGGTATTAGAAGGGGAATTAAGTGAGTAGCAGTGGAGCTGTGTGCGCGAGTAAGCTAAGCGCGCGTGATTAGACTGGTAATTGCGTGATTAGACTGCTAGTGACGCCGTGGTGGGGGGGTACGTACGTCCGCGTGATGGGCTTATGATGCGTTAATGATAGAAGAAGGGGGGATTAGATAGGAGGAGTATAATGCCGGCGCCAGCTGGAGTCCAAAGCGGCAACTTGCGACTTCGCTTTCCTGACAGCCAGGCATGGACAGCAACCCTCTCCACCGCTCATCTCAAATTCCCGTTTTGCCCCCACTATTTTCTTCTGTTTTTTTTTTCTCATCTCATTGCTATGGATTAAGGGGGAAAATATACAGCGTAAAGCACATATGTAACGGAAACTTGAAAACTACCGTTGGTTTAAAAAATATACGTCTGATATTCGTCCACGTCACAACGAGTAAAAATTTTACTCATGAATGAATCTGCGAGTAAAACTTTTACCTGTGGTAACATGGATGAATCTTAAACGTTCATTTTTCGATCCAACAGTAATTTCCAGATTTTCACTACATATGTGGTTTCCACCATATATTTTCCTGGATTAAGGGTGGGTTCTAAATTGCGTTTTGAAACAGATGATTAGTTCAACGTAAATAGAGAAACATGATAAGTATATAATTAATTGAATATTAATTGAAAATGGATTTATTTGGCTTTTAAAGTAACTTATATATAAAAGGTTTTCGTATGAAACACACATTTTAGTATTTCAAATAAGCGTGCTAACAAAAATTGAGGAAGTAGCCAAAATGATACGGAGTTTAGAACACGCTCTAATTTTTTTTAAGACTCTGTTAGAATACATAATTTATTGGATTGGTTATTTGCATAGTCCACATGAAACTATAGGTATTTTAGAGGAAAAGTATTGGGTATTAAAATAGAGTTAAGAGGAGAGAGATAGAGACATGATATCTTACACTTCTCAAAGGAATTTTTTTTTGAACGGAAACTTCTCAAAGGAATTCAAATCATGAGGTTTGAGCTCATCCTTAAAACCCTCCAAAAAGTGAAGAAAAATAATGATTCTTATGGAGTTTTTCCAACCAAAGCCTATAGACCAGAGGGCTACATAGAAAATAATCCTACAGGATTTGAATCCTTTGAAAATCCTATAAAAATTTCATTTCATAGGAACCCTTAATTTTCGTATGAGCAGGGTGAAAAAAAAGCATCTCATGATTTTAGTGGAGTACTTAAATATTAGAAATAAACTAGGGGTAAATTTGGCGTATAGAATGGGTTTACTGTCCAATCTCTCTAGACGGTATGTGGCCAGATGTTTAATCCATAGAAATATTGTGACGGTTCAAAAGCTAATTTCGATGATGTAAACTAAAATAAGAATGGATTCATACATGTTGTCAAACAAGAAATCAAAGGTCATGGTCGTGAATAGTTTCTCAAATTTATGTACAATGTTTCGCCATGGAAAAATCATGTTGAGTTATCGTTCCTTAGACCCTTACCATCGGTTGTGCTATTAGTGGGCGCTAAACCGTGTTCTACCAATTCGTGGTTTATCACGGACAACTAATGATATAGTCTTTGCTGATAGAATTTTTTTTCAAGGATGTACAATACCACCGCGAATTTAGGGTGCTCATCAGGCCTAACATCCTCTCTTTATGGCCTAACAAAGTCGATCTCTGAATGTTTTTTCCACCCTTTCAAACACACACACATCTATGCACCATGATGGAAGTGGCTGGCCAAATTTATATAGAACTTGTGGTGAATTGGATCGACTAGAAAGATTTTTCAAAGCTCTGCTACACTAAATAAAATTCAGAAGACTTTGAAGTCCTTTTGTCCACCGTCAGTCATGGGCATACACACCCATATAGGAGTGGAGACTTCCACTCTTCCAGCCTGTGCTCCTAGTTTTTGGACTCAGCTGGCAAGCATAATTATCCTCAAAATTTACATTTCAGTCTATATTTTCTTTCAGATAATCCAGTCACTACTTTTAACCTATCAAATCCTACATGGTCCTGACTGTGGATTGGATTGGATTGTTTGGATATAACACATGGACATTGGAACTTGTCATTTCATAAAGGGATAGAAGGTCCAAGTTTAGTATGGAATAAAGGGTGAGTTGAGTTAGACATTTCACATGAACTTGACTCATAATTTATTTTAATTTTATTTTTTCTTGTGCACTGGTAAACATCTACTACTGCTATTACCTGTACTGCTAGTCCTCTGAAAATGGGAGTAGAAAGGTTCTTCAGGACAGACAACACACAATTGGCATGAAGGGCAGGTGTAACAGAAACAGATGCTTCTGTTGCTGCTGATGCTGCATCTGAATGATTGTGTTCTATCAACCACGGCTATAAATCTCTCTCTACCTGAACCCAACTGCTTCACAGTTTACATCTAGCTCTTCAGATTAGGTACTAGCTTCAGTGTTGGATATGCTGTGCTTGTTCAGGCACTGGAAGTGAGAATTGGAGGAAAACAAACTGATTGCTGGTTGTTGTTTGCAACAGTGTGGCAAACAATGTTCAGCTTGTTTTTCTCCAATATCTCACCTTCAGGTTGATTGCTTGATGGAATACTTTAGTTGAGCAGCACATGAACAGATTGGCAGCTAGTGTTGGGTTTTAGCAGCTAGGACCATATTTATATGTGCCATTTGAAATGAGGATTAGAGGGAACTGAACCATTTTGATGAATATCAGAAGGTTCAGTTTCCTCTAATATCTCGCCTTGAATGGCCCATCCGGAAAATAGCTATACCCATCATATATGCACTAAAATGTAGGAATAGAAGAGAACCAGTTTGTGGCCCTCCCAAATTCTTCCTTTTATTGAATTCTTTGATTTTTGCTGAAGGCGCATATCAACCTCTCTTTTCTCAAACTTACAGAATTTTATCCACCAACTCTTTTTTGAATATCGTGTGGAAAAGCCTACTCTTTGCCACCAAGCTCATTTGAAATGGTAAACATAGGTTGAGTTTAGAAAAGTATTTTATTTAACATGATGATAAGTTTTGAACAAAATTCAGTGCCAATTACAAGGATTAATTCATTAAACGTTCAGAAGTTTCAATGAGTTCGGTTATACCATACTTCAAACTTGTGAAGATTTTGGAGTTACACCAACTCTAATATCATCTAACATGATAAGAAATTTTTTTGCCAGCCTTGTCAGTTTTAAGCATCTTATTTATATGTAAATAGAAAGAATACATATTTAGAACACGGTAAAAAATGGCTCAGAACTTTTAAGTGTTGCTCTATTGATCAAGCTAAATCATACTTACATATATATTACAGAATAATTGTAAACCTTGAAGGAAAAACATCATCTCTCTGTTTCCTGATTGCCTTGGTCATAACACAGGCATAGAGATTTTGATCATGCATCTCCCTAATGTCACAAAATGTACACGTATAATTACTTTCATGTGAGTGGCAGTACGCCTTTTGAAGGATGTACCCTATGTTTTCTGAGTATATACAACCGCTGTGTTTGTGGATCTGACTCAAACAAAAAGCCCCTCAACTCAATAATCCTCAAGCAATGCCTCCAAATTTTTCCTCCTCGCAGCATGCTTCAGCTTCTCCATTGCGATGAGTCCTACTTGCCTCACCCTCTCCCTCGACAACCCGAATCTGAGGATCATTTTTCAAGGCCAAATATTATAAACTAATAAATATACCAAGAAACTATTATGAATAGTTTGATAATAATGGAAAAGTTTTAGATTTTTTTTTATGGCGAGCAAACTTGACTAGGCAGTTGAACATGTACAGGACCTTGGTCCATAAGAGCTGAAGAAATAATACTTACTGTCTGCTAATATCCTCCCATGTATGGCATTGTTTTCCTATGCCATGATATAACCGGATAATGTCCCTCTCACGCTCGTTGAGAGTTGAGTTTAAAAGCTTGTTGACTTCTTCCTGGTATTAGTAGAATGTTTATAGTTAAAGCACATTCAATGATTCTCTAAGGACATAAGGTAATGAGGTCTGGTCATCCATATACCAGTACCAACTCAGAGCTATAATATGTTTGTGGAGTCAACTTTTAAAAACAAAATGCTTGGAGTCATAATGATCTTTTGTCTTGTGGATGGATTATTTCCAAAAATAAAAGAAAGAACAGGATTATGGACTAGTAGCAATTAGTGCAATTATCTTCTGGAACAAATATCTCTGTGGTTACCTTGAGATACCACTCCTCAAATCCATGCCATGGATCATTTGCGACATTTTGATCCTCTATGTACTGAGAACAAGGAAAGGGCGAAAAAGGTTTAATCTCGTGGCACATTTCAAAATTGAAAATGTATAATGGTGTTTCAAAGTAGCTATATAGCTGCTTACACTGTGCAGTGTCTCTCCAGGTAAGCCGTTTAAGGATGGAAATGCTTGTTGATCCAACGAAAGAACCTTGTTCACAGCCTGTATTTTTCAACCAGTAAAAATGTCTGTGACAATGCCAGAAATATCAAAGGAATTTAACAAAAGAAGTTCCACCGAGCAAGATGAAGATATATTACCTCTGTAGCATTGAGTACTTTCTTTTCTGATATGTTGAGTGACCCTGCTATGTTCTGAGAATAACCACCAAAAGGTTATAGCAAACCATCAGAGACGCGACATTCAAATTATATAATCTTTTTCAAAGAAAAACAAAAGTAGCATGGTTAAAAATACAATAGCAGCAACTAGAAGTACTTTGCAGTTCACAGAACTGAAAACCATCATAAAGGTTGGCAAACTGTCAGATCTGCGTTTTAAATTTTAATTTTAAAAATAAAAAGAAACAATGATTAAAATACACAAAGAAAACTGCAATTGTAAATATTTTGTAGTTCATGGAAACAGAACTAGCCAAATTTTTATTTTGTTAGTGCAGTATGCCTTACTTCTATTGTTGGAGCAATTCCTTGATCTTCCAACTCATACTTTGCACCACGAATCGCAATCAGCCGCTCGTGCAGATAAGTTGGAAGCCTGAATGTTTTTGAGTTTTCAGCTAATGCTCTTGAAACACCCTGGTATCGATCGAAACAATGAAATAAGGACAATGTATCAGGTATCGATTGAGTTAATCTCTGACTGTAATTCTGAACTTCCATCCATTTGCCTGAGCACAGGATAGCAGAGAACTCTTACCTGGCGTATCCACCAGTATACATAAGTGGAAATTCTAAAGCCCCTGGATGCATCAAATTTTTCGATCCCACGGAGTAACCCTATCAGACCACCCTGCAAAATGTGATTGGATCGCAACACGTTACTACATGTCTCAAGCACACAAAATCCTCCTAGTGTGTCCAACAGATGATTGGACTGAACAGACTCTGTTAGAATTGCAAAGGCAGCTGAATTAACTGATTCCATTACCTGAATGAGGTCAGCCAACTCAACACCAAGGTTATCATACTTCTGGGCAATGGAAATGACCAAACGGAGGTTGCTCATTGTTAGCATCTCCCTTGCAAGAAACGACTCGTGCATCCTTGATCGTAGCTCGGGCGGTGATATCTTCAGCGAATGCGCCAGCTGTTTGTATGAGGGCTCATTTCCCAGCTTCTCTTTCAGCCTGGTTCAACAATGGAGGAACAAACCATCAGGATCAAGAAAGCTAAAAAAAATTATGAAGAAATGGCATACAAATGCAAGGTCACTGAGTGCAATGCAGAATAGCAATTTGAATGGCCATTACTGAAAAATCATACGAATCAAATCACTTAAATCATTTGAAGTATTTTGGTGAATTTCATACACCGATCAATCGATCTTCACTCCGAAGCTTAAGCTGACGATGAAATGTAAACAATATACTTGAACAGTTTCAATGTTTTTGAGAGGAAATGATAATTCAAATGAAGGATTGATCATTTCATATTTGCAGTGTGTGGCAATGGAGGCATACTTTGATCTTTGCTGCTGCAGCCAGATGCCATCCTTGATCTTGTGGGAGAGGTGGACGACCTGCTTGTGCGTGAGGAGCTCCTTGCTGACGGTGCCCCTGAGGTAGATCCTGTTCCTGCTCTGGATCAGCTCGGGGCTGACGGCGAAGTGCGCCGCGCCGTTCTTGGTCCTCCCCCGCCGCCGCCCGCTCATCCTCCTCTGCCGCGCCGAGACACTGGACCGCGCCACGACGACGGTGGCCTTGCTGGTGTCGTCGTCATCCTCGGCCAAGCCGATGGCCATGGCGTGGTTGTCGTCGTCGAAGGGGAGCTCCCACTGCTTCTCGAGCATGGACCTCTGCAGCAGCACGATGGCCTCGAGGGAGGACTCGAGGTCATGGGCGTGGGCGGCGCGCGAGGCGGGCGACGGCGTCGGCGGGGGCGGGGGCGGGGGCGGGGGCGCGAGCGCGGCCGCCGCGGAGGAGTGGTGCCTGAGCGCGCGCATGACCTGCGCGCGGCCATGCGGGGAGAGCTTGAGCCTGTGCGCGGCGACCGCGGTGAGCTTCGGCGTCGCGGGCGCCGGCGGCGCGAACGACATCGCGTCCCCACCTCCACCACCTCCTCCTCCTCCCCCGCCTCCGCCGACGCCGAGGCTGACCTTGTCCGGCATCAGGTCGGTCGGCCCGAACGACGCGCTCAGCAGCCTGTTCCCCGCGCTCAGCCCGATCACCGCTGGCGTCGCCGTCATCTTGTCACCACCCTGCGCGCGGCGGCGGCGGCGGCGGCAGCAACGGTGTCCGCACACACACACACGCACGCACTTGGCTGCACTAGTGGTGGTGGAGGATGCGAGGCACACACGCGCCGCGCGCGCCGAGGAAGCAAGTAGTAGGCCACACGGACACCCACTCTCTCGCGCGCGCTGGTTTTACCGCGGCGAGCGACGGCGGCGGCGTTACCGCGGGCGAGGTGGTGGTGGTGGTCGGAGTGGGGTGTGGAGGGAGAGGATAGGGTAGAGGAGGCGGAGAGGGCGGGAGGCCATTGGTCGGGGCGAGATATTGCGGGGCGACCTTGTTCGTCGCGACGCGGACGGGGAAGCCTCCGCCACGAGATCCCCTTAATCCAGGGGCCCGCGCCACCAGCGACAGGTACAAACAACTACTCCATCTATCTCAAAATAAACTTAATTATTAGACTTTTATGTCTAGCGTTTAACTATTCATCTTTTTAAAAAAACCATAAAAAAATTTTAAAAGATAAGACATGCATAAATAAAGTATTATTCATATTTTATCATCTAACAATAATAAAAATACTAATAAAATAATTTTATATAAGACGAATAAAATATATTATTTGTCTCTACTTCTCCTAATAACTTTTTATAGACGGAGGTAGTACTCACCGCCGAGACGACACAGTCCAAAGCACAACAAAAGATCGCCTCTTCTGAAAGAAAAGAGGAGAGCCTACTCGTTCCGTCCACACGTCGCACGCCCACACGCCGCATAAACTACTCGTAAATGCTCTTTTTTTTTTCTTTTTTCTTTGTCTCTACTTCTCCTAATAGTATGAAAACTTTTTATAGACGGAGGTAGTACTCACCGCCGAGACGACACAGTCCAAAGCACAACAAAAGATCGCCTCTTTTGAAAGAAAAGAGGAGAGCCTACTCGTTCCGTCCACACGTCGCACGCCCACACGCCGCATAAACTACTCGTAAATGCTCTTTTTTTTTCTTTTTTCTTTGTCTCTACTTCTCCTAATAGTATGAAAACTTTTTATAGACGGAGGTAGTACTCACTGCCGAGACGACACAGTCCAAAGCACAACAAAAGATCGCCTCTTCTGAAAGAAAAGAGGAGAGCCTACTCGTTCCGTCCACACGTCGCACGCCCACACGCCGCATAAACTACTCGTAAATGCTCTTTTTTTTTTCTTTTTTCTTTGTCTCTACTTCTCCTAATAGTATGAAAACTTTTTATAGACGGAGGTAGTACTCACCGCCGAGACGACACAGTCCAAAGCACAACAAAAGATCGCCTCTTCTGAAAGAAAAGAGGAGAGCCTACTCGTTCCGTCCACACGTCGCACGCCCACACGCCGCATAAACTACTCGTAAATGCTCTTTTTTTTTCTTTTTTCTTTTCCGTCTAGAAACAGGTCCTTCGCTTTCTCAACTGCAGGTGAGTCTAAAAATTCTAAAATTTGGAGTAGCTCTCAACAGTGAAGTGGGATATTTTACCGTCTTAACTGCTACTGAAACAAGTACTACTCCGTCAATAAATAGGAGGAATTTTTGCTATGCATTTTTCCTTATTTTTAATGACGGCATTTTATTCTTAGAGCAACAACAATATATATAATGTATATAGAAAAAATAGCCCATATAAATAGGACCCACATATATAAGCTTAACTATTGTAACCTTTACAATATGCATAGATAACAAATAATATTAGGAGGAAAGAGGGAGTAGAGACAAATAACATATTTTATTCTCTATGGGCAAACCATATGCTTATGGATAGCTTTTGTTATTTCTTTGCTATAGACTACTTCCACAATGTTGTTGGGTGGCTGAATGAAATATTGTATTGCTTATAGACTACTTTTGCACAACACTGTGGATGCCCTTATTACCATATCACCTAGTTATATTAGTGAGATGGCAAAAGAGTTTTTCATATTGGTTTATAATCCTCTTTCATTCCTTATTGCAGATAAATACAACACTATCAAAACGGGTTAGTTATCTCCTTAAAATAAAGGTTTGAGTGCCATTACGAAGTATTTTGATTGATTTTAATAGTTGGGAGAGGCTACATGTTTGGTTTTACAGGAAGGGGCTGATTTCTACCGCATTAGGAAAATATAACTGTAGAACAAGCATTTACTAGAAAGCTGCTATTTAGATATTGGGCTAAAACATCTAAGGCTGCGTTTGGCAGCAACACCAAAGAGAGAAAATTGTTTTGTTTTTCGCACGCACGTTTCCTAAACTATTCAACATTGTGTTTTTTAAAAAGTTGATTTAATAAATCATATTAATTTGTTTTTTTAAGTTTGGAATAATTAGTAAACAAATAATCATAGTTAATCGTTCACCTTGTTTTGCGCATCTGTTCAATCTTCTCCTTTTCTCTTCTCTCAAAAATTAATTTTTAAGTCTAAAATATTTAATACACAATTAATCATAAAATATTTAATACACAATTAATCATAAAATATTTAATAATCATAAAATATTTAATACACAATTAATCATACGCTAATAGTTCACCTTATTTTGCGTATCTTTTCAATCTTCTCCTTTTCTCTTCTCTCGAGCACAACCTTAGACACAGGTTTATCCTCAAAAGCTGTTTATTTATGGAACATAAGGTGTACTTCCTTAGGTCAATCTAAGCGGTAATGCGCTTTGCAATAGATGGAGTTTTCTCTTCTATCGTGGAGGTTAATATAAGTTATATCATAGGTTCAGTTTAATGTTATGGAAAATAGCATGGTCTTCATACGTGATTATAAAATAAAGTGTGTGTGTGTGTTTTTATAATTGTCTGCGCTTGCATTGTGTTTCGCAAAGAAAAAAAAATCAAAAAGTAGAACCTTTCTAGAAATCTTTGAAAACCAAACAAATGATATATCTACTATACTACTATTTGTGTAAATAGGGATGAAAATGGTAGCAGTAATTACCAACCAACCGGACGGTCGTTTCTGAAGTTTACTGATCAGACAATACGGAAATGGTAATTCCTAGAAACGAAAATTGTAAAAAATACAGAAACGGTATCGGAAATGGTTGGTGATTTACCAACCGTTTTGTCGGTTATTGTATTTTTTTTGGTAATTACCATTTACATATTTCGGTAAATTACCTTTTTTATAAATATCTCTGGCCCAAGTTATCTCCAATGGCCCATTCCCTTAGCCTGAATATACCAGTCCCAGTGTCCCACGAGGTTGTGATAACGCTAAACCATAGAGCTGCTCCTAGTTTGGTAGTTCCTCACACCGTTAGTTCGTATTAATATGCTTTATAGACTTACAATTATATGTCATTGAAGTTATAACTATTGTCGAATACTTGATCATATTATCATTTATCAATCTATTATACATGTTTGTACGTATTTGTGTTGAATAGAGTGAGGATGAATTTGTCTCATGCAACCATGCTAGATTGCTATCTAAATGTGTGATGTTATAGTTCGTTGCCTCTGACATGAATTATCGGCTTTCAATTTATACCGTCATGTAAATAATTATGTTTTCGATATTATCTCCGTTTCCGGCCTACCGTTTTTATTCCGTTTCCGAAAAATAATATGAATAGGGAAATGGTTTAGCGTGTTTCCTGACCCTTTTTTATCCCTACGTGTGAATGCACGCACGGTTTCATGGCACATTGGCACAGACGTTTTGCACCCCAAGAACCTGTTCAAACGAACACGGTTCCAGCCTTCCACACGACATGGATGGGATGGACGGTTGGATTTCACACCCCGAGACGAGACGCCCACATTTTCAAATTTCAAAATTCGAATCGCCGTCACAACGGCCGCAACTCCCTCTCACCACCACCTCTCCATATATAAACTCCCCCTCTCTCCCCTCCCCTTCCAATCCATTCCCCTTCCCCCAAATCCACCCTACCTTGCCGCGCCGCCGCGACAATCCATAGAGATCATCGAGAGAGGAGTCCACCGGAGCCATGAGGAGCGGCGGCGACGTCAGGTCCTTCTTCCGGCAGCAGAAGGCCCACGCCGCCGGCGGCGTCAAGCCCACCGGCGGCGTCTCCAAGAAGGCGGCGCTGCCCCGCCACCACCACAAGCCCGCGTCGCAGGGTGCTTTTCTCCTCCCGGTTTCTCCCGCCCCCGAAACTGTTCGATCGATTGCGTCTCCGCTGATTCGATTGTTCGGTTTTTTTGCAGCGACGCCAGATCGCGCCGTCGACGACGCGAGGAGGCACGTCGAGGAGGCGGAGGAGGAGGAGGGGCGGGAGAGGATGGCTCGGGAGTTCGACATGGACATGCGGTACGGGCCCTGCCTCGGCCTCACCCGCGCCCAGCGCTGGCGCCGCGCCGCCGCGCTCGGCCTCGCCCCGCCGCCCGCCGTCATCGCCGTCTGCTCCGACGACCAGCCGTGCCTCTGGGAGGGCCGCGTCTAGCTCTAGCACCAACACCCGATCGACCGATCCGCTTCCAGAAAGTTCTAGTAGCTTGTATGTGTTTTAAGTAGGAACAGCTTCTCCTCTGCTTCCATCTGCCACGCCTCGTGGTGCTTGCATCGACAGTTCATTTCAAACCGCTGCCTGATGAGTCAGTGATCGGTGCCATCTTGTGTTCTTATTATCTGAAATTTATGATGTTGTTCTTCTCCCAGTCGGTATGATCTATGAGACTATGATGTTTATGAACCATGGCATTTTGATTGGATTAGTACAAACTCTAAAATCATGGTAAATTAATCCAAACATTTCATTCCCCTATCTCGATTGTTGCGGGCTGTGTATGGTATGCAAGATAGTATCTCAGATTCTGATGCCATTCTCCCAGTTAGTATGATCTATGGCGTCTTCATTGTATCAGTTATTACATTTTGATTGGATTAGTGCCAACTCTAAACCATGATAAAATTAACCCAAACATTTCATTCCCCCCAATCTTGATTGATGTGTATAACAAACAAGAAATCACACACAATTGAATCGTTGGTACTGGGAAAAGGAAGCAACAATTGCAACTCACGATTGGATTAACAGATCTTTCTTTGCAATATATCCCAATCCACAAATCCTGTTATTACATTACAAGCACGCGTACAAAGGCAATACCGAATCAGGACGAACGAACATCGGTACACACAAACATAGCATTAGCAATGTCAAATGTCCTTTTCTATGTCTGATATCTGGAACAGTAAGGTCTACTATGCCAGTAATACAGTGTTTCAAGTAGTCTGATTCCTCGATCGTCCATGTAAAGAACTCGCTATCCGTTCCGTCCCTGTATTCTTCTCAGTATGGAATAATCGATTCGATGAGCTCCTGGAGTGGAGCCAGCTCCTTCTTGTCAATCAGGCCAAATTCCTGCACCACATACCAAAAGGCCGGAAACAAATGAATTTTGCTTTCCCCAGATTTCTATGAACCAAGAGCAAATATGAGATAAATGTAAACAATCCTGGTAATGAGTTTACAATCTACAAACAAAAGAGACTTACAGTTGTAAACAGAATGAAGTGCTTGAAGCACGTGTTAAGATGGGCCTCCTCCTTGAGGCTGACAATCTTCTGAAAACTGGAGTGATATATGTGGGCATAAACACGAAACAAGCGCTTGAAAATTGTCTTTACAACCTCCTTGAAGTTTGGCGGGAATGGTGTGCCTGGTAAAGGAATTAAACCCATATCAGTGTCATGAGTTGTGTCAAAATTGGACAAATATATGAGTAGTGCCTGCACTATTTCTAAGGTACACATGACCATTCCAACATCAAATGTTTGTGACAAACAATGATTACCAAGCTTTTGGGGAAATATAGATTCATCATCAAGTTGGCCTTCAATCCAGTCCATTAGGAACTCCACATATTTTGGCGCTGACACTTCTATCGGCTTCTTTATCTGTACACCATCAGCCCATCTGTACTCATATCTGCATAAATTCCATGTTTCTGTTGTTACTTTGTTATGACGTGACCAATATATTTAAGTAATTCTGTACAAAAAATGAATCAGGGGCTTGTTGACATGACAACTCCACTTTGTAATAGGTGGATATAATACAAAGTCACTTTATAATAGGTGGGGTATAATACAAAGTGTTCTTGGAAATTTTTGTTCCAAAAAGGACCCATCATGCTTGTCCATTTAGTCAATGTTCTAGCCTTTAATTATATCAGGACAGGTGGAAAGAAGCAAAGCACTGTGGACAGGCTAAAATGGACAGATTCGAACATCCTTACCTGAAAATTCCAGAAAATTTCCTAAAATTTTGCTTCGGTGGGCTGGTCCAATCGACGCGATGCCCACGGGCTGGAAAGTGGAAACTGGCTGCCTCATCTTGGGCTGGGCCGAATTTTATCGAGAAGATTAGACACGAGTATGGGCTTTGGGCCCAGAACTCTCCCCAAGCGCCGCATCTGCTCCCGAGTTTTCCGCTTCCGCAAAGCGGGAAAACGAAGCGGGAAACCGGGCAAATACCTCCCATTTCTTCTTTTTTTTTTTTTTGCCTTCGAAATTCCTCTCATTTGGGGGAAAGGCGTCGGCGGCGAGAGAGCGGCGGCGGCGAAGAAGAAGATGGCGTCCAACTTCTCCTTCCCTCCGTTGACGCCGGAGCAGATCGCGGAGGCGCTGCACACCTACGGCCTCGCCCCCACCGCCAACCTCCGCGCGGAGGACATCGCCAACCCGCAGCCGGATCTCCTCCCCGCCGTCATCTCCAACTTCCTCGCCACCGTCGTCGACCCCACCGGGTGCGTGCGCGCGCCTCCCCCTCCCCCCTCTCGCCGGCGCCGCCCGCTCGGTGTTTGTAATTGTTGGGTGGAGATTTTGCAGCGCCGACGACCTCGACGGGCAGCTAGGATTCGACGCGCTGGCGTCGCTCGACAACCCGGAGCACTACATGGAGGGCATCCGGGTACTCCGCCTCCACAAGAGGGCCAGCGCTTTCCTCGAGTCCATCCAGTTCCCCGGGTTCACGCTCCGCGACCTCCTCCGCCCCGACCCGCGCCGCCTCGTGCAAGTCCTCAGCGCCCTCATCAACTTCCTCTACTACAGGGACGACAAGCTCGCCCTCCTGCAGCCCATCATCCACGAGTTCCCCAACTTGGATGAACGGTGCATGGAGCTCAAGGCCAAGCTTGCCGAGGTTTGATGCTTCTGGCATGGCGCACAGAATTGCTAGCTGGGAATATACAATTTAACTTTCCTCTTTTGTTTTGATTCTGTCCTGTGTACAGCATCAGAAGGCAATTGCCGATCATGAGCTCGCGGCGCAAATGGAGGAGCCGATGGTTCAGCAGATAGAGGCGGAGGTCAATTCCCTGAAGCAAAAGCTTGTAGAGTACAACAAAAAGCAGCTGGCACTGAGAGCCAACGCGACTGCGATCAATGACAAGAAAGAGGAGACCCACAGAAAGGTGGTGCTTACATTGCAATCCTACTTCCGCTTTTGACTATATGGTGCTACAGGTTTCACCTGGCCCTGTAGTATTAGGCCAAATTCTCTTCTAGGTCTGAGTGTCCGACTTTCTGACTTCATTATATAACTTGCAGTTCTATATTGTGTTGGTTAGAAATGTCAGAAGCGTCCAGGTCAAATAGGGATAGAAACCAGAAGGTTTGCAGCTTTGCCATTTGGACAAGACGATCTTTGTGTATAATTGGATTGAAAAATAGTTTGGAAAACCCATTTACATTGTAACACACTATCATTTACTCTTGACATATGTTAAGCTACACTGAAATGGTTCTCGCTGACATGCTGAAATTTTAGATATGCAGAAAAGACGATTTCTCACTAAACGCCTTGTTATTTTCTTTATACAGATTGCCAAAAATGATTTTGAGTTGGTGAAACTAGCACAAGAAAATTCCAAGTTATTGCCAAAAATTGTTGAGTCCCCAGAAAAGCTTCAGGTTCGATCTGTTCCTCTTTTTTCTCTATTGCCGCTGGCAGGATGGTCAGTCTTGTTTAAATACCTGAATTACTTCACCACAATCATAGATGGTTTGTAGTGATCGTGTGCAATGGTTTTTGTCCTCTATATGTTTAGTTTTTAGTGCTGATCTAGGTTTTTTTTTTCACATAATCTGGTATTAAAGGGACATTTGGATATTTACCATTCTAAAACTCTTCAAAAAGTTTGTGAGAAATTGAAAAACAATGTAAATACTATTATTTTTGCATGCACAACTGACATTCTTCCAATGCCGTAGAACTTCGTATTTACTCTGTATATTATTTGTTCATTAAAAAGTTGCAGTTATTGCCAGATGCTCTGTCTTGATTCTCGAGGACACACTTTCACTAGTTTAATACTCCTCGCTTCTATTCAACTGCTATTTGGAAATATATGCATATATTTGAATCAATCAGATCAACACTTTGTTCTTCTAACAGCATATAAATTATCTTTATAAGCTTGCATCACTAATTTTGGATTTTATTCTGTATTACAGAGGGCCCTTGAAGAGAAGAAAACAGCTCGTGCTGAATTAAAGAATGCTGAGAAGATAGCAACGCAAAGTGTACAAGAGAAAACTGCCACTTTGGAGATATACAGTAAGGTAGTCTTGTTCCACTCTTCATTACAAAACACCGAAGGTAGAAGGTAACTTGTATTTGCCGATTGGCCGTAACAATATCTAGCAAATATAGGGTTACTTCATCTGTTTCATATTGATTCAATTTCCTGATATTCCACTGTATTGTTTGGATCATCTGTTTGTTGCGGTTGTTGGGGCTGACTTGTTGCAAGAGTGGCACTTGGCTACTTACTACTGTTCCTTGTGATGCTTGACCTACTGATCCATTAATAACTGCAGATGCTGTCTCCATTTTGCAGGGTTATGAAAAATTGTCGAAGCATTCTACTAAAATCCAGGCTTTACAAGAACAGGTATGGACATCTGCAATGCTAGTTTTTCATTATGGAGTTGGATTAATCTTAAGATGAAACCCTAGTAACTCTCTTATTTATTATTGCTGTTAGGTTACTGCAACTAAAGCCCTTGAGAAAGAAGTCAAAGCGCGCAAAACTAAGATTAGTGATGAAAGTGTTGAAATTATGGCCCTTGACACAAAGATTATTGAATGGGATGGGAAAGGTTGTCAAACTGTACTTACCTTTTGTAGTATTGCTGAATTTGTGTATGCTCTTTCCATTCTGAAATACTCTTTTCCTCACGTTATTGCATGAATACCTTTTTGATTAGTGCATGAAATGGAGGAGCATGTTAAAGCTAAAGAAAAAAAAAAGGATCAAATAGTAGCAGACGAAAATCAGAAGCTGGCTGCTTTGAGTTCTGAAGTTGAATGGAAACTCAAGTGTCTTGAACCTCGTGAAAGGAAAGTAGAGGAAACAATTGCAAAGGTGATGATTTCGTCCTGAAATTTTGTGTGGTTCAAACTCAATGTCTTTGAAAACTTCTTTTTCCCTCTGAATCATTGATTTCTGGTGTTCACATGCCACATGCCACCTAATACAATCTAATGTTCCAAAGAGGCTTCATTGTATGCGCTAGTATTGGTCCAGGAACATATGCTGACCGGCCTGACTATCTCCCTAATATGCTAAAGCCTGTAGATTATATTATCTTATTTGTTAATACTATGATCCTATTTCAACTATACTTGACATATTTTTCTGTCATTACAGGCTACTAAACTATGTGCGGAAGTTGATTCAACAAGGACTGATGCTGCAGAAGAACTACAGCTGATATATGCTAAATTTCAACAAATTGGACATGCGGTATGTTTTTATTAGAGGACTATTTCCTATAATCATTGATAAAATTGTTGGTTGCTAATATAATCCTTCTTCAGTTTACTTGCTACAAGGATAATTTTAAGTCTTTCTTGGAACAAGTTGATGAGGTGAGCAAAGAAACTTTAGAAAGTTTAGATCGTCAAGCTGTGGAGCCATTGGACACATCTGCAACATTGTAGATTGAGAAAGGTTAGGTCATCCAGCAATTGACACCCACTTTCTTGTTGCAGTTAACAGCATTTCAGCTGTTATTGTAGCATTTCAAGCTAAGTTTGGTAGACGGCAGTTTTGCAATACCTTGCTTTCTTGCTGTGCTGTAATCCTAATGAAACTCATCTCTCCTTGTTTTGAATGGCAGAGAACTCCTGCAGCCCCGCTCCCTGAAAAGAGGATAGCCACTTGGAGAAGATAGCCTAGTGTGTTTTATGCCACAGCTGTAAATTTGGAATTGAGATGTTTTTGTTATCACTGGTGACAGTTATGGACCTTATGGTCTGTTTGAACCTCGTCTGACCAATTCGGTGACTGAGAATACTTCATCGAATTATCTGCAGTAGTTATGTAAAAATGCCTTGAATCACTCTGATATGGAAATGTTGGTGTCAGGTTGCCAAGTAAAAACTTTGGATTATCTGTCCTACTATCTGCCTACATAATTCATTCCTTTAGTATGGTTTAACGGTATTTATCAAAAAGCTAATGCACGGTGGTGTTAGGTCAGCAAATCTGGAGCACAGATCGTGATATGGACGGATGTAGCAACTTTCCTCTTCATTCCTCCATCGCGATCTCCTTTTCTTGTTACGGGCTTTTTTTTCTCAAACGCGCAAAAGGATTGCATGTCAATATATTACTCCATCCCAAAATGTTTGATGCCGTTGACTTTTTAAATATGTTTGACCGTTCGTCTTATTCAAAAAAATTTAAGTAATTATTAATTCTTTTTCTATCATTTGATTCATTGTTAAATATACTTTTATGTATACATATAGTTTTACATATTTCATAAAGTTATTGAATAAGATAAACGGTCAAACATGTTTAAAAAAGTCAACGGCGTCAAACATTTAGGGATGAAGGGAGTAGAAGAAAAGAATATTTGTTACACAACACAATTAGTCAGACCAACTGATGCCAAGAGAGGAGGTAAACAAAAGACCAAGGAAAAAAATACGACTTGGGTACTATGACTCCAAAAGGCGGGAAGGGGGCAGAGCCCACCATGGTGGTCAAGTCGTAAAGTTGAGTCGAGGTACCCTTGGACCGACTTGTCGACTTGGTCGACTAGTCCACGACTTGTCCATGACTAGTCCATGACTTGGTCATGCAAAAACAGGGGATACAATATATAATTTTTACTACTATTATACTGTG